CAGGAGGTTCTGGGAGGTAAGGTGAAGTTCTGAGAGGTAAGGTGAGGTTCTGAGAGGTAAGGTGAGGTTCTGAGAGGTAAGGTGAGGTTCTGAGAGGTAAGGTGAGGTTCTGAGAGGTAAGGTGAGGTTCTGATAGGTAAGGTGAGGTTCTGAGAGGTAAGGTGAGGTTCTGAGAGGTAAGGTGAGGTTCTGAGAGGTAAGGTGAGGTTCTGAGAGGTAAGGTGACGTTCTGAGAGGTAAGGTGACGTTCTGAGAGGTAAGGTGACGTTCTGAGAGGTAAGGTGACGTTCTGAGAGGTAAGGTGACGTTCTGAGAGGTAAGGTGACGTTCTGAGAGGTGGGCAAGTGAGGTTCCCGAGAGGCAGTGAGGTCTCCTGAGAGGTAAGGTGAGGTTCTGAGAGGTAAGGGGTGACTGCCCTGAGAGGTGGGCAGACGTTCTGAGAGGTAAGGTGACGTCTGAGAGTGTGTAAGGTGAGGTTCTGAGAGGTAAGGTGACGTTCTGAGAGGTAAGGTGACGTTCTGAGAGGTAAGGTGACGTTCTGAGAGGTAAGGTGACGTTCTGAGAGGTAAGGTGAGGTTCTGAGAGGTAAGGTGAGGTTCTGAGAGGTAAGGTGAGGTTCTGAGAGGTAAGGTGAGGTTCTGAGAGGTGAAGGTGAGGTGAGGTGGTTCACAGTATGGAAAACATAATAACTGCTTCACCAACAATGACAATGGCTGTGTCATTGTTGGTGGCGATTAAAACAACAACAACAACAAGTACAGTAATAGGGGATTAGGTCAACGTAAACGGTACTTGAACACGAGGAGTAAATACATCACACACACACTTATAGAACATCACTCAAGATTGTTCCTGTCCTCACACCACCACACCACCATCAACCACACCTTCATCATTGCCATCATCATCAACCACACCATCACCATCATCATCATCATCACCATCATCATCATCATCATCATCATCATCATCACCATCATCATCATCATCATCATCATCATCATCATAGTCTTTTTCTTCGTCGTGACCAAGTAAGTTTTTCAAGACCTTACCATCAGTCAAGAGTGTGTGTTGTACCTTTGTCACGTCGCTGTTGTGCTTCAGCCTTATTAAAAACCTGACCTATATACAGTCCAGTAATAAATCTGGTATCTCCTCACACACCTTCAAAATAATAGTAATACTGTGTATGGATTTTACTTTTACTTTTATCCGCTTTGCCACTGATGGGCTCGTTAGCTGCTTGGGCGATCGGACAGTATGTGTGACTTCTCAAACATGTGTATTTTAATGTCCAAAATGTCCAACTTTCAATGAAATCTATGACCATTATTTTATTCTCACTGTGATGATACAACAGTCTTCTTCTTCTTCTTCTTCTTCTTCTTTTGTACATTTTAAATTGCTGACCCACAACCTGGTGACACAATGAACTAACAGAAACTGCCTAAATAATGCCAACAGATGATACCAGGACAATTTCTATCAAGTGAACTGGACTATTATCCATAACTATCATAGCTTTTCATGTGCTGTACAGTACACTACCGGTACTTTTATTTTCAGTGTACTATACCATTGTGTCTTAATAAGGGACTAAATGAGTGAAGATACTGCCTGCATGGACTGCCTTAACACTCACAGCCACACAAACATGACATTTTTTGTTTCTTTTTCTAAATATTTAAAGAATGTTTTGACTTTTATATTTCTTCTCATTTGATTTTGTTGTAATAAGTAAACTGTTATACTACCTGGTAAACAACACAGAATGGATAAGAAGTAAAGTCAATGTGTTTTAAGCCATCAACTACAGTACAGGTTGTACCTCTAGTCCGGCAACCTCGGGACCTGACCGGTGCCGGACCATGGAAATTCACCCTTTTCCTGGATAGATAGTGACTTGTGCTTATGCTTGGAAGCACTAGCACCACTTTCTCTGCATCATGATCTCTTTGAAGACATATTGAAGGGTTAAATGTCGTATAGTAGCTTCTCAAAATTCGCGAGTTTTTAATTCAACGTATTTTATTGGAACACACAAAAAATAAATAAATAAAAATTTTGACAGCGGAAACTTGAATTTCGACGGGTTTAAACAGCCCACCAACATGCAGACAACGTGCATAATCGTGTAAACAGCGTCATTTCTCTTATGTACAAAAGATTCATTATTGTTTATTACTGAATGTCTTTTTTATTGAATTAATGTTTATGTGTGCAAAATGAGCAATACAATTCATTAATAATACGTAGAATATTAAAACACACGAGGAAATGACACAGCATTGTTTTCGTTGATTACAAAACCAGTGACTGACTGGTTCTACATATAAAACTGAAGAAAATAAGACCTTGGTTGTAGCTGTAGTAAAATTAATATGGTTGTTTTAAGTAATGTTATTTAATGTTAATAAATGGAACAATAGAAGTATCTAACGATAATGGTAAAGAAAAAAGAGAGATCGCGTATGTAAGTGCGCACACATGTGAAAACATATCGTCATTACTCTACATAAGAATATGAAAGCAACACTTATTTACTGCTCATATATATTGAAGGGTTAAATGTTGTACTCTGTATAGACAAGCAGAGAGAGAGAGAGAGCAGCCGAACTGCCGGATGTAAACAAACCTTAATTTTCCGCGGCTTTTTTTTTTAAGGGGATTAGCCCACCGGGCATAGGTCACTGACCCACATTGGGGCCTGAGGGGCAAAAATTTAATACTCCTGTAATAATAATAATAATTCAGATAAGTAAAAAAAAAAAAAAAAGCTGCCTATCTACCTATTGGACAAACTAAAATCGTTCCGGACCACGGGAGTTTCCGGACCACAGAATGCCGGACTAGAGAGGTACAACCTGTACATACTTTTACTTTTACTTTTATCCTCTTCGCCACTGATCGGCTTGTTAGCCGCTTGGGCGATCGGTCACGACTCTTTTCCTTTATATTCTTCACCAAAAGGTCGGCTCGCTAGCCGCCCGGGCGATCGGTCACGTCTCTGTCACGCACTGTTGGCAAATACTGGGCATGCACCGGCTCCTGAATGTACCTGAACCCGCTCCAGTGTTGGTCAAGTCTTCTCTTGAAAGAGCTCACACTCGGTGCCGTCACAACACTTTCTGGTAGATTGTTCCAAGAGTTTACAACCCTCACTCCGAAAAAGTTTGCCCTCACGGTTTTCCGGACTTGCGGCTTCTTCAATCTTGAGCTGTGACCCCTTGTGGGGCGAGCGTCCGCCAGCTCCAAGTAAGGACACTCAACTGAGTAGTGCCCCCTGAGATGCTTATAAACCTCAACTAGGTCCCCCCTTGCCCGTCTGTAGTATAAGCTAGGCAAGTTCAGGCGCTCCAATCTCGCAGGGTAGCTGAGATGCCGAAGTGCAGGCACCAGCTTGGTGGCCCTCCTTTGAACATTTTCAACCAACTGACAGTCCCTAGCATATCTCGGGGACCAGATGGGGTGACAGTACTCCAGATGGGGAAGCACTTCACTCCTGAAGATCGTCACGAGGGACGGACCGTCTAGATATCTGAACGACCTTCTTATAAGACCCAATAATTTATTTGCCTGATTTACCTTCTTCTCACAATGGCCCGAGAACTTCAGCTCATTGTCAACATACACACCTAGGTCCTTCTCACACACAGTCTCAACTAGTACATTTTCTTCATCCCGTTGGGACATATGGTACGCCTCCTTACCGTTGGTACGCCCCAGGTGCATCCTCTTACACTTCGTGACATTGAATCTCAGCAGCCATTCCTTCGACCATTCCTGGAGCCCACAGAGGTCCTTCTGCAGCTCTTCACAGTCCGCTTGGTTCTTAATTTCCCGAAATAACTTGGCGTCATCGGCAAACATTTGTATGGAGGAGTGTACAACGTCAGGCATATCATTTATGAAACAAACAAACAACAGCGGGCCCAATACACTACCCTGCGGTACCCCACTTGTTACAGGTACAGATGACGATTTCGTGCCATTAATCACCACACATTGCTTGCGGTCATGTAGAAAGTCTTCTATCCACGCTAGGACATTTCCCCGAATTCCGTACCCTTCCAGTTTGATTTTCAGCCTTTCGTGGGGTACACTGTCGAAAGCCTTGGCAAAATCTAGGTAAATATTGTCGATATTACCACCCCGTTCTAGAATATGGGTCCAAATATCCAATACCTTGAGCAATTGTGTCAAGCAAGAGCGCCCCGGCATAAAACCGTGTTGGCAATCTTTTACAAGGTTGTTTCGTAGTAGATGTTCCATCGCTGCATCTCTGATAATACTCTCAAGTACTTTACATATTATGCTGGTCAGGCTCACCGGTCTATAGTTGTTCGTGGAGTGCCTATCGCCCTTCTTGAAGATAGGACTCACATAAGCCACTTTCCATTCACTGGGGACCATTTGTTCATCCAGGCATTTACAAAACAGAATCTTCAGGGGCTCTGCAAGCTCGTTGCACAGCTCCCTTAGCACTCTAGGATGCACCATGTCAGGTCCAGGACTCTTATGGACCTTTAGCCTGGACAGTTTATTTCTAATACCCTCTTCTGTGAACACAATGTGGGTCAGTGCTGTGTCGAACCGTCTGTCCTCAAACACAGGAAGGTTAGTTTCATCCTCTCTTGTGAACACTGAGGAAAAGAAGCTGTTCAATGCCTCAGCTTTATCCTGGTCAGAATCTGCGTAACTACCATCTTCAAGCATGGACAGCATACTGTCACCTCATACAGACTCAACATTAATGCAGGTAAAAGAGTTAAAACAATACATACCTGTACATAATGTCAGCAATGTTTACGTCACAACTACCGTAGTCACGATTATATTTTCGACACTTTCAATTACAAAAAAAAAAAATCTTTCAAAAATACATTCTCAGAACACAGATACTGTACTGAATATGCATTTATCATTAAATATTTCAACTCCTTACAATTTAAATTACCTATCTACGGTATATTTTTTTAAGTACTGTACTGTGTACTCACCGCCTCTTTCCTGTTGGGTTTGGCCTTATCCAGCGCCCGATTACACGACTGGTAGTCCACCATCAAACAGGTGCGGTCCAGCAGCATGGTGCTCTCTGCCTGGATGTAGCGAGTCCACAGTGTCTGTACGGTCCCCAGCATGATGTCTTCCTTGTTGGCCTTATCTTCTGTTTCATTCTGTTCATCAGAAAAATAAATTAAATTAAATTTTTAACAGAGCTGTACTGTACACAATGAAATAACCATTTAAAAAATCTTAACGAAAATAAAACAAAACCACACTAGAGAACTAACCTTGATGCTGTCCATGCAATCGAGGAAAAGAATGTTGATAATGTTGAACTGCTTGTTGTGGACCACATCATTAGGACAGTTGCTTAGTTTGAGGGCTGTGACCATCTGTTCCAGCTGGTGACTTATCCCTGAGGTCAAACAAACTCTTTAATGAATTAAAAAAAATATTGTATGAAAAAGTTAAGAACATTCAGTGTAAGTTTTTTGTACAGTACTGTACTGTATAGTTTATAAATAGCAAACAGACTAAGACACATCCAGACAGAGAAGTATGACTCATGACATGAAGAGCTGAGGCATTACTGTACATGACTCTTTAAGATCAAGGAGACAAATAAGTGAACTGACAGAGAATAACAATAAGGCAGCCCTGAGCAGAGCCCATGTGCCTGACAGCAGGAAGCATTATCCTAAGAGCAACACACTGTCAGTAGTGAATGAGGTATTATAATCTTCCCATCTGGTGGAACCACAAGCTGACCTTCATATGATCACTGAGGTGGATCGTGTCACCCAATAAGGTACAGTACACAGCTCACCTGAACCACAATGCTAACTCAAAAGTTAATCTTTAACAATTTAGGAACCCATTTTTTACCTCTGGGATTTCTGGAAAATTTTCTCCTAATGCAAATTTTTCTCCCATATTTCAAAACTCAATCCATACTTTTGGATTCTGTTCGTAGATATTTCCATGACTTGATCTTCTATAACTGGAGGAACACCTGTACAGTACAGTAATATTACATTTACTTTATGAAACAAAACTTGACTTACTAAGCTGAGCATAGACAATCTTGTTAAAGGCATCACTGGCATTGGCAATAGCTGGTTGATATTTAACAACCCAATCACGTTCCTTCTGGAAGAATTCTTCACTGTCGGGATACGATGACTTCCTGGAGTCCAGGCTGTCAGATAGCCGACTTATCAACCCCTTTTTAACCTGAGAAGGAAACAATCATACAACTATGTTGAACATGTCAATTATAACACTATGTTAGGCTTTACTTGGCTGCTATCATTAATGCACCACAGTTATCTGTAAATAACAAAGTCATCAGAAATATAAACAATGATGGACAATGTATAAGAACCAACTAGGGTAAAACTCTCTCATTTTGATAACTGCATAACTCAAATACCAAACATAACAAACTGTGTGGCATTAACTGAACTGAGGTAAGAAATTATTATAAGACAGAACTTTATGTAAGACTAACAATAATCCTTCTCATTATATCCACCTGACCTCACAAGAGACAACACTATCTTCATATAATAGCTGCTGGCCGGGAAGTGTGAGTGAAGGGGCACAAAATTCCATACTGCAGTATATGATTGAGTCAAGTTTGGAAATTAATTGAACCACAAGAGTCAGATTCATGTCCTAAAGCTGCACAAGTCCTCTCGACAAACACCAAGTCTAAATTTGAATTCAGCTTTGACTAAAGAGAAGGCTGTTAAATATCTACCTTGTAACGAAACACTGAACAGTACCTCCTGACCACATACCTTAGTTCTTGGTGGAGCTTCCTTTGTTGTCAAGAAGTCAAGTAACTTGTCATTCTTTCCTAACACAGGATGTGATAGGAGTAACTCAAGGTACCTGGAGAGAAACAGTAATTAGGAAAATACAGGTGAATCAGCAAAATGAAGCCTTAAGGTACGGTAATAAAAAACTGGAGAATAAGTCATCAGGTTTAATCTATCATTAGAATCCAAACAAATTTGAGGTTTCCTCCCATTAAAACCCAGAAATTAATATTAAATTCTGAGTAAAACTCAAGATATAGATTCTATTTAATTAAATTACAAATAAACTTGTAAGAAGGGTAATACAACAAACTCTGTACAGTATATATTTAATACTGTACCTAATAGTTTACTGTGAATGAACCAAACATTTATATCCATAGAGAGGACTGCTGTACTGTACGGTGCTGTACTGTGCTGAACTGTACTGTACTGTACTATGCTGTACTGTTCTGTACTGTACTGTACTATGCTGTACTGTTCTGTACTGTACTGTACTATGCTGTACTGTTCTGTACTGTACTGTACTATGCTGTACTGTTCTGTACTGCACTGTACTTACTTTTGTAGTTGGTGACAGTCCTTATGAAACTCATCTGCTATTAGTGTCTTGGAACCTTTTCCCATCAGCCTTTTGGAATGTATCTCAGCATTGTAAGGATCTGAGGAGGATAATAAAACATTACTATGACAGATAATAACAATGAAGAAAAAAAGAGATGGATTACACAGACCATTTATAATGAGCTCCACAGATCCTTGACTGCTGTTGACTGGCAAATAGCAAAAGCCTTCAGCAATGGTCTAACTAAAGCATGTTTGTGAGCTGCTTAGTCTGGGCCACCAGTGCTGTGTCATGTGTTGCTCCCACACAAGGTGAGGTTATAACCACTAAATTTACATAAATTTAACTTTCATTTAAATGATTATTTCACCTGTTTATTTACAGCAATTAACAATTTAATTAATAATCATGTTTTTAGTAACAAGAAACTAAACAGGCAATTCTGTATAGTACTGTACTGTATAAACAAGTGACTCAAACCCATATAAGTAACTACTGTATCCTGTAGATACTTTACAAGATAAGGATTCTTTTCCCTTCATTCAATTGGTGGGCCTGTGCTCCTTGGTGGGCCTCAGACTGCAGCTCCAACACTCTAAGATTCCCTGGCCTAGTTCAGCCATAAACTGATGTAATGAGTGGTAAAACTGCCTAAATATATTAAGTACCATCTACTCCTGCTGTACAAATAAAGAAAACCAACCTATTGCAGACCGTTGTGGGATAGGTGGAATGATTAGCCCATGTAAGGGCTGGCTTGTTGTCACACAGTGATCTAGGTACTCAAAGTCCTCATATTCTCTCTCCAGTATATTAACTGTAAGGCCATTCTGAAAACAATAAACAAAATTACCATTGTGTTAAAAATTTCAGTCTGTATAGAGACATAATTTCTAGTGATATAAGTTCAAAATAATTTGAATATATCGTAGATAACTCGAAAATACTTGACATTGATGGTTAAGTTTTCTTATCCAAGACTGATAAAACTTGTATAGTACAATATAGTACAGTGTATGAGTACAGGGTTTTATAACCTTAGTTTTCTGGAATCTCTCATAACAGAAATATGTACAGTACTGCAACATTACCATACAGCAAAACTGAATAATTTACTTCTATTAAAAAACCCTATAAACTGATAAAGCTTCTTTGTGTGCAGTAATGTACAGAATAAACAATAAAAAAGTAAAGAAAGATCAAGAACTATTCGTTGCAGTACATAAATATTCAATTGTTCAGCACTGTATAACAATATCTATTTTACTATAAAATATTGATTTACTAACTAGTCAAACAACTAGTGTAAACCTTGAATGCAGTACAGTACAGTATGTGTAAGCATAAGAGTACAGATGGGGAGCTGAATGGTCAAAGGTGATCTGTGATTGTACAGTACTGTACTACACTAAATCCCTCATCATGGATGACCTTTTCATGGTACAATAACATAATCAGTGGCAGAAAACATTATTATTACACACAGCACAACTGCTGCATAAACAGCTACCAGTGTCCATCCAGTTACAACTGGTGTCCACTGATGTAGTGTTAGTCTCTTGTACAGTATACAGTACCCTGTAAGTTAACAGCTAAGTAAGTCAAAACTTTTGACCAACCACTGCACCTCTCACAAACCCTCAGCCATAAATATTGGCCCAAGAGGCTACCAAGACTCAGAAAAATAAGTGATGTCAGTAGACCAATCTATGGATGTCTTCTCATGATGTCATTTAGATAGGAAATGCATCAAAGGTGGAACTGGTCTTGAAGGTGGTAGAGCCATGGCTTTTAAGATAATACAGTATGTACTTATTGATTAAACACAAAGTAGGCACCAAGATATGTATCCATTGCACCTGATTTCCCCATTTAAGGCCAACTAGTAGGACTGGGAGGTGGGGAGACTGAGTTACTTTGGTATATTAATATATTACCCTGGGGTGAATATCTTGGGGAATTATACAGTATTATGAGAAGCTGTCTATTGTAAGCCAATAAATCATACTGTACCTGTGAAACTTGTAGAGTGAACTTGACACTGTCACCATCTTTGGTGACACGATCACTCAGGCGAACACTGAACTTGGGTGTGAACGGCGCCTCTGGCTCAGGAGTTGACGCTTCTGATGACATGCCCGACACTGACCCTTCCTCCAACATCCTTAAACTGAAATAAAAATATTTTAATCAAGACGCCTTTATTACAAATGACGTATTATGAGCACTGTACAGTATATGCATTAATAATATTAGCTACTGGTGATGCTGAATGTCATATATCGGAGATGTAATACTGTACTGATCATTATATGGTATATAACAAGAGGAGAGCACTGTATTAACTCCTTCTCCTAAAGATGTGCAATATTCCCATAACTTCTGGATGTTTCTTTATTAGTGCCACCTTAGTAAGAAAATTGTACTGGGGGTAATATAATTTTTACGGTTATTACCAGCCTCAACACTCATCTATGGTCGGGAGATATGAGCTCTGATACTGCCGTGGCTCTTTTATTTACGTCCGAGATCACTCATTAGTTCTTTTCATAAACTACTTTTGGTAATACTTGACGAGAATGGCCCGCCCTTAGTACCAACCAGAGGAAAACTTTCCATTGGAAATAAAAGCTTTCTTACCTCGTTAAATTAACAAAGTTCACAAGGAATGTAGTTTTGTATAATATTAAAGTTCACAACCAAAACTGAGAGAGGAAGAAGGCAAACACAACCTTACTTTGCATGTCATGATTAGACTGGCTAGGTTAGGTTAGGTTTGGTAGGTTAGTTTTTATGAATAATAAATAATATAATGTAACACTATATAAACAAAACAAATAAATTATGAAATCAACCAACGTTTGATCTCGGAAAGTGAAAAGGGCGAACAGAGGAGCTCCTCCACAACAAATATATTAAAATTAAATAACACAAAACTTCCTTCTCCTGCATTTTTCTCACAGTTTTTAGAGTTAAAGAAGCGTTTATTGTCTCTGAAGTATTTCCTCAAGTTGGTGCTGAGGCTGGATAAATTTCATCAAATACCGGAGGAGAGAGGCAGGGGGAGGCTTCACCCCCTCACCCTAATGATTCCAATAGTTACTCTTAAAATTCCCTGGACGACCAAAACTAAAATTACACCAACTTTTCTTCTCTTACATTACTCATCCACTCATTATGTAAGAAAGCCTTTACCTTCTATGTGAAATGCCCTCAAGTTACTGATTCAGACACAACCACCGTTAAGTATTACCTATCACACTTCCTTTCAATCTAATACGTTATACTGTACACATGAAGTTTAAGTATACTGGCATAATATTATCAATTACCATGGACACAATATGGTAATGTAAAACACCAAATGTTAAAGCACGTACTAGGACTAGGGGGCGGTAGACGCCTCCAGGTCCGCCCTCCTCTACTCTTAAACTGCTCTATTTACTCTCCTATTCCTCATCAACATCCAATATTTTATATTATATATCAACAAATAAATCAAATTAACCTACGTTTAAGTTTCAGTGGCCAATTGTTCATCACATTTATGGTCTAGTGGTTAAGGAAACGCCTACATAGCCAACCAAACTTGACACTTCTCACATACAGTAAACAAACACCAGCTGGTGCTGCCCACTAACACGGGGTCACTATTACCATGGTCTTATTATTAGTACTTCTTTAATATACAGTAATAATACAAACTAATAATACCTGTTCACTTAAGAGGAGAGAGTAGCAGTATGACGCCTCTTACTTGACTCTGGTCCAGATAACATATCAAACAATAGCTATAGTGGAAGAGGTACCTGCCTCTTCTGCTCCTCAATATACAGTACTTTATATTACTTTCATTATCATTTGTTGTCTAAAACTATTTGAAAGTAAAAAATTTATATATTCTTGTAATAATAGGAAAGTGGTTAAGTAAAACTTATTAAAAGACATCGTCTTTGGCTACGCCACTTATCAGCTTATAATTTTGATCAGATAGGGACGCGATTGTGTCTCCACGCCCGTGAGGAGAGACATGAGTCCTGTAGGAGCGGTGAGGACAGGTCAGGTGACGAGAGGTGAGGTGTGACGGCCCAGGGAGGCAGGAGCCACACGCCCGTGAGGAGAGACATGAGTCCTGTAGGAGCGGTGAGGACAGGTCAGGTGACGAGAGGTGAGGTGTGACGGCCCAGGGAGGCAGGAGCCACACGCCCGTGACGGCCCAGGGGAGGCAGTGAGCCAGCCACGCCCGTGAGGAGAGACATGAGTCCTGTAGGAGCGGTGAGGACAGGTCAGGTGACGAGAGGTGAGGTGTGACGGCCCAGGGAGGCAGGAGCCACACGCCCGTGAGGGAGACATAGTCCTGTAGGACAGGTCAGGTGAGGTGGTGTGGCCCAGGGAGGCAGGAGCCACACGCCCGTGAGGAGAGACATGAGTCCTGTAGGAGCGGTGAGGACAGGTCAGGTGACGAGAGGTGAGGTGTGACGGCCCAGGGAGGCAGGAGCCACACGCCCGTGAGGAGAGAAGTGAGTCCTGTAGGAGCGGTGAGGACAGGTCAGGTGACGAGAGGTGAGGTGTGACGGCCCAGGGAGGCAGGAGCCACACGCCCGTGAGGAGAGAAGTGAGTCCTGGAGGAGCGGTGAGGACAGGTCAGGTGACGAGAGGTGACGACCCAGGGATTAACTTGGGGTGAGGTGTTAGGGCAGTGTATACAGTATAAGCAGCGTGTTGTAGTGATCAATGTACCAGTACCATCCTCTCTCTTTAACTTGTGTTACCCTTATTTATTTTTGGTCACAGATTGGACGATGGGTGAACGCAGTAGCAGATAAATAATTTTATTAAATACTCCCTTTATTTCAGCATCTACAGTATATGCTCCTGCTTGTATTTTTTTTATTAGACATGTTAATATCAACTTGTTTGTATTAATGTAGGGGGTTTACTGCACCATAACATGTACAATAATTCTTATATGCAGGTAACATAATTTCGAGGAAAATATCATAATTTTGACATCGGTGTACAATAATTAGGGCTGGCCAGCAGCGCAGGTGCAGCCTGTACCTGACTTACCTATAAACCAATCCAGCTAGACGGAGAAACAAGTCCAATGGCTTGTGAAGGATCTCCCATTCTTCTTGATAGTCTTGACCAGTTTACCTTAAACAGTACTGTGCTTCCCTCTACGCCAAAACTTCTTCCTGGTACATGCAGATGCCCGCCCCATTAGAGGTCACAGCGTAAGGTTGAAACCACAAGTTCATAACATTTCCAGGTCAAACTTTTGAAGTGAGAGTTGTGAACTCTTGAACAACATGCTAGTGTTGTTACGGCACCGAGTGTAGCTCATTCAAGACCAGACTTCGACCAACACTGGGGCATTCATTCTGGAGCCAGTACTTGCCAACATTGTGTAACAAGACGTTGCCAACAGTGGTTTTCAAGCCAGATTACTAGATTGGTCTGGTTTTGAGTGGTTGGTGGGCCGATGTTTGCTCAGGCGGGTTGGCGGTTGATTGTGTTTCTACTAAAGCCGGCTTTGGGGGGTAAACTGCATGATCTATTCATTACACAACCAGTGACAAAAGCATGGCTTTATAAAATTTTGTCACTAACGTTCCCACAACGGTCAGTTACTGAACTGACAATCACTTGAAAGGATATTCATGAAAATGATAGTGTATTTTGGTTAAATTTATTGTCCAATGAGCAGGTATAATGACGGAGAGAAAATAATAAATCTTATTTATCGGCTGGAATGCTAATAGATGCCAACAGTTGGTGTTAGTCCAACAGCACCTCTCTTATCTTCAATAATTATACAGTATAAACAAGATGATCGAGTACAGTACTGTATATGATACAAACTGACTATTGTATTAACAGATGAAGTTTCAGTTTATTAGAAACTTTCAGAAGTTTCATTTGGTGGATGAACAATTTATATTTTCTTGGAAATGATAAAGAGATTGAGCAATATTTCAACTTACTTTCCTCAAAGGATATTCATGAAAATGATAGTGTTTTGGGCATTGTCCAATGAGCAGGTATAATGACGGAGAGAAAATAATAAATCTTATTTATCGGCTGGAATGCTAATAGATGCCAACAGTTGGTGTTAGTCCAACAGCACCTCTCTTATCTTCAATAATTATACAGTATAAACAAGATGATCGAGTACAGTACTGTATATGATACAAACTGACTATTGTATTAACAGATGAAGTTTCAGTTTATTAGAAACTTTCAGAAGTTTCATTTGGTGGATGAACAATTTATATTTTCTTGGAAATGATAAAGAGATTGAGCAATATTTCAACTTACTTTCCTCCTACACTATAGTATTAACTCCTAAACTGTATTTGAGGCAGAGCAAATTCCTTGACATACACTATGAAACATCTGAATAAATATACAAATCAGCAATACAGTTATGCAGGTTCATCCAATTACCATGAGTACAGTAATCAGACTTTAACCTGAAAAAACATTTTTTTTTCTTATTCCTTATCACTGGTGGAAAAAAGTGGCAAAATAATTTTACTGCATCATAAGTAAAGTCAGTGCCAACCAAGCCAAACTCTGAACCCTCCATAACCACACTTGGTATTTTACTGTACTGTACTGTATCAGTTAATATATCAAGTAAAAGAACGACACTTTTTGGAGAGTTGAATTGAATTTTGTTATAATATTTTGGAACTGGGAACTTAACCCCATTTTTATCTTAGGTGGAAGTGTTTAACAATACTGAACCTATCCTAAGCCCACTGATTATGTGGGAACTACTACAGTACTGTATACTGTATTATTACAATATCAAGTATCAAATATGGTTTTTTTCAGTAAGTGTTGTAATGTACAACAAATATGTAAAGTATTACCCTTACACTGCACTTTATTAGTAGCACAATTCATGTAACATAGTGCAGTATTTATTTACTGTACCAATATTAATACAAGTCAGTCAAGAATCAAAGTTGTAAAAAACTGACCAATTTAATCTTTACTGAAGCATCATATGAACATGATTATAACCATTACACTTTTATACAACAAATTTCAATATAACTTTTACTAATGGTTATTTGATAATTGTATACAACATGGTTGGATGAAGGACACTTCCAAATGATAGCTGAACTTAATTATGCAAATTCAAGCTTGAAAGGTTAAACCTAATGGTCATGCTCTGGCAGTTTTAACCTCTTAACTATAGTAATCTAATACTGCAATGATGTTTTATCCAACTTCAGTCTAAACTCTAAAGGGAAGCATTGTTGTAAACTGATATTGTATCATCTTTGGTGGTTTATGATGAGCAGTATCATCCATAACCTTAAAACAACTACAGAAATGATATCTACACATATACTGTACAAGTATACCCTGCTAACATAACTACTGTATGTGGTCCAAAACAGTGGACGTGTTCTCCTAGAGACTCCCATGTTATTACTTGATGTGTTCCAGCCAAAACATTTTAGTTCTAATTGTTAATATTAAATAAACATATAAAATAAATACAGTACAATAGTAACACTCACCAGAGATGCATAAGAGGCACCATGATAGAGCTTGGTGGCACAACGAGAGTGAGTCTAACTGGTTATGGGGTAAGCACAGAGCTTCATGCTGAGATAAAAACACTGTAAATCCTTTTTAAAAATCATCTTTTTCAAAAACTCCAAGTTATACAACAACAGACCAGGGAATATTTTATATGAATACATTCCCTGATTTATAACAAAACTACATAAGTAAAGTCATGTTATGCGAGGGATACATGTATAGTATAGTGAATATTCCAGAGAAAATTTCATATACAGTTTTCTTTATCTTAAATATAACTATAGTACAGTATATGAGCAGAGGCAACTTAGGAGTTTGATGTGCAGTTAGTTTATGGTCTATGAGCTGTACAGTACTCGCACTCATTATCTAAACTAACAAATGCATTATCAAATTTGCCTGCACATAGTTCAGCTTAAATAGGTAATACTTTGGTGCTTAAATTTTTTTGGGGTAATTTTTTCATATACTGTATCTTAAACAATAATAAATCAAAGGTTCATTTATCTACAGATTATATATTATATAAATTACATGTAACACTGGAACAAATAAGAGAGCATACTTGGCAGTCTCACTTTCCTCATCAACCTTTTTCTCCTTATGTAGTTAAGTTTTATATATAATATATGAAGTCAATATTTCCTCATTAAATCAAAATTTGAATACAAAACATAATTTTTATAGGAACATGTGGTTTTAACTCTGATACTAGTAAAGATTGCTTGAATATTGATAACTGGAAGAAAAAACAAATGCAGTGCAGAAAAAATATATGTAAAAAGACAAAATAAGATACAAGATAATGATTGAAACCTAAATAAAAAAAAAATTGGACAATGTTAGAGAAAAATGTTCGTACTCAGCCACGTCCACTGAGGTTGCCTAACATGTGGTCACAGGCAGAGGGACCTGAAGTGTAAATATCATTGAAATTTATGATTTAATATTTGTGGAGCCTTCCTGTATTAAACATAAGGAGGAGCTGAAGTGGTAGAGTAGTTCTAGACTCAAAACACATCAGAAGTACAGTACAGTACTGTAGTCCAGTGTTAATACACTGTAAATAACAAAATTAGATAATAATCCTTTATGAACTTGCCACTTCTTGCAAAGTCTCGTGACTGGTGAGAATTTGTTTTGTTTTTAAGTCAAATCAAAATTCAGCTGACTCTGTTAGTGTATGGAAGCAAAACTTAATGTAGCCCACTGGTAGGTCCAGGGTAACAGATGGCTCACCTGGGGAGAACTCTGAACCTATCTCAGGGGAGAAAATACTGTATCTAGTTTTGAGAATCTCCGGTTTTCTGAAATACGGAGGAGAGGGTCTGTACCTGTACCTGTCCTTTAGTATGCTACTGTCAAACATATTATTTTTCTCTATAAATATGCACAACAAGAAAATCAAAGGAATAAGCATGAACGCAACATTCTCATTTAGCCCTCCACTCACTCCTCCCTCTTCCATCTCTTTTGAGAGAGACAGAGAAAGGAAAGACAAGAAAGATCACCTTTCTCTTTCCTTTCTTCTGTGAGAGAATGGAAGAGTTTCTCTTTCCCTTTTCTTTCTTTTTCTCCTGGTGGCAAAGAAGAGGGAGGAAAGTGAAAGGCAGAGATAGAGAGAGGAAGAGAGAGAAAAGAAGAAACTTACATTTTCTTTCTCCTTCCCCAAAGGAAAATACTGCAAAGTGAACTGTCATGTCAGTCACACAAAGGTAAACATGGCAACTCAGCTGACCCACCAAACTAGAGGCAGGATGGGTGGTGTTCATGACAGCCCAGAGGTGGAAGGCCAGATGATGCGAGTCCTTGTTTTGGTGTTCCTATATCTACTGTATATTGAAGCAGAATATTTTCTAACTACTGTAATATCTTTTTGGTTTACTTAACAATTATTGGGGGATCTCAATAACTTTAAGGATAATATTTTAACACCCAGTGCATAAACTCCATATTTTTTATCAACACCAATGATTTACTGCACAATTTGTTGGGTCTGCGACAACCTAATCCCATGTAATAAGCAGGATATGAATACAGTATATATAATTTTGAATGGCTTTTCACTCAGATAAAACTCTGCTCTATTTTGAGGTGATTATCTTAAGAAATGCATCACTTCAGTACTGACAATCAATTCAATACTTCATGTCAAGTCAAAAGACAATAACTGCTGTGACACAGTCAGCCAGGTAATTTCTTGTGTGAAAAGCCTCTGTGTGACAACAGCGTTCCTGCCATGGCCAATGGTATAGAAACTATGATTGGTACAACAAATACAAACTATCGTCCTGTCGTCGGACAAATATCACAAAACATTTTATCACACGAGAGAATAAGGGGAGTTCTCTTTAAGCAGGAAATGTTGAATTCTTGGAAAAAGATGAAAATCACATTTACACTTTGGCACTGGACTAAGTAATAAAGACACAAGTTTACTAATATTAACATAAAGAGTTCCTTTTAGAGTATGATGCTTGACAGCTTCATTGGGTACTTTAGAAAAGCTTAATACCTGAATGAGAAGTTTGTGACCTCTGGTTTCTGACATAAGAAGTCATTAGTGTTTCACTTGACCTTGGTAAATATTGATATAAAAATGCATAATTTTTCTTATATGTGACACACAATGATATTCTAAAAGCCTTTTAGCAATATCATTTCTCTTCCACAAAATGAAATGAAAAATATAAGAGAAATTATCACTCCCAACTTTAACCTGACATAGGTTAAATGTTCTCCCCAAGTTTTATTTTCAAATTTGGCTTTACAGTATCGTATTGTAATCACTTACTAATGTATAAGGTTTAATACAAAAATGTTTCTAACTTCAACAATATGATTTTCAACGAAGTTTTCATAAAAAAAAGAGGTTAGATTCCTGATTATCAGAAATGTACCTCTAGCTTTTTCAACATGTTAGTTTGCCCAGTGACTGTGGTGGAGTTAACAGTAGTGAGAACATCTCCCAGGTCAACCATCACTTTGTCAACCCTTGGTGATGGGATGGAGATTATCTGTTGGTCAGTTCTGTACAGTACAGTATACAGTAAAAGACCACACTGATCCCCCAGGCCAAGCATAGAGCACTTTTGTGGAATTTAGAAGTCATAAGCATTAAAACAAAAGTTGTGATAAAAATTTTTAAAGTTTGTACTGACCTACAAATCCATCAAAAAATTTCAGTAAAAGCTAAAAATAAATCCATTGCACTTTTCCAATGGGTGTGCAGGTGAGTACAAAACCTTAGAAATTAACACTGATAGTTTTCCAATTAACATACATAAGGTCCGTGTGGTTATGCAGCGGTACAGAGGACCACTACTGAAGCCAACAAACAACAACTGAAAAAGACAAATCCTGACACTTGACCAGTTATTGATCTCTGCAAGACAACATCCCTGCCATCACCACCAAAGAGTGACCTTCACAGAGTGGAAACAGGAAGGGAAGTTGCTTGTATCAAGACCTGTTAAGACTCTCACAGCTTCCGACAACTAAAATCTTCACTTCTTTTGAACCAAGTGCCGTAAAAGTTCATGATAGGATATGGTGACTCAGCACAATCTTGTCTGCTGAGCAGAGATAATGATCAGCCAAACACCTTACCTGGATAATATTCTCATTAACAAGAGTTGGGAGAGTGACATTATCATCACTATAAACTCCACCACGGACAAAGGGTGGACTTACTCCTTCAAGAAGTCAGAAGGAATTAGAACCTTAAAAGCTTTCTAAGAATGGCTGGAAATACTTTAACATTAACATGAGATGCACAGTTGATGGGTTTTACTAACAACATTCCCACTGGTATATTAATAAGATTCCAAATATAAATCTACCATTTACAATATTTGGCAATATTTATTTTTTTGTCCAGGACATGCAAAGTCCATCAGCACCGAGGTTATGTGAGGTATGCACACTAACGTCCCAACCAAGATAAATTATATGTTTTTGAGGGCAAAAGATCACCAAGGTCAGGTGACTGCCCCAGTGGCCTCCCACTCTGGTCATAAGAATTTCTTAAACACATTTTGGTCAACTTATTATGGTTGCAATTTAAACATGGAATAGCTCTTTATAAATTGTTAAGTGACTCACAATAATTATCTTAGATGGAAAAGTTATAAAAATCTGTGTACCGTAAACACAAGCAGAATCACTATTGTAAAAGAATCACAAAGCTGTGTCAAAATAATCCATAATAAGTGAAAGATAACTCTGTTTACAAGTCTAACTTTTAAAGCACATCAAATAAATTCTTCTTCTTAGCTTGGCTCATAATGATAGTGATCCATGTTTAGTAAACTGGAGAGAAGTCTGATACAGATAACCTCCAATTTTCCAACACAATGGGAACACTTCAAACCAGTCCTTAGTTGACAAAGTTTGTAAGACAAAGGTAAAAATTACTCTTAATAAACTACCAAAGTCTCTAAGTTATTCATTGTAGGCATTTATCAAAGCTTTCTATATAAAAGTTTCCTGGTAAGAAAAACTGTTTAACCTACAATCAAATTCTCTGAGCAAAATAGTGATTAAACACAGGAAACCTTGAGAGCTTCTCTCTATATGTCGGCAACCAAACATATACTATTGTATACACACACACAAATATATATATTTACATGTAATAGTACAATAACAAGGTAAAAAGTAATGTCATGAAGTGTATGGGAGTAAATCACAATACCTGTACAGTATACAATATTATTACGTGCCGACTGTAATGTTTTCATAACTTAGCATCAAGTATGACACACAACTTATAAAACACAAGTCTAATTTCATTTCTTCCATGGAAAAGTAAACAGTAATAACTTTTTCAATTAATACCATTACTGAGATTTTTCTACAGCACCAGGCATCTGCTTCTGTGTAGTGTAGTCACTCTAATGTATTCAGTACTGTGTAATAATTTTTAACTGAGCTACGAACAAGTTTCAAGCTACAGCAATGTTAACAGACTAAAATAGTTTGAATGCAGGTGCTATTAAATCATCTCTTTATCTAGAAGAGATAAGTAAGCACAGAAGGTTAACTGTTAACTACCAGATTCATAAGTTTATTATTTATTATTTTTGAAGAAAACAAATTATTTACCACAGATAAAGTAAGTAACAAGTATAATATTTGAAACACTGATTCAAGTACTATACTGTACAGTAAAAAAATTCAATATAGCTACTGTACATGGAAGAAATTAAATGCTCCTCACTGGTTTGTACAAGAGAGGCACACACTTTATAAATAATTTAAAAGCCTCAAACAGTCTGGCCGAGTTTACTAAATCTCTTTCAAAGTTTTCACAAGGAACTCGTACAGTATTTCTATTTAACACTATGACTGCCAACAGGCTTTACTGGAGAGGTAGACAATGCTATTTCTTGTCAACTGCCTAATTCAGAAACAATGTCTCTGAACACTTGACTTATATACATCTCATGATGAAGTGTGTACAGTATAGAAATGGTAAATGATGAACTATAAACAATTGATTTCATTTCTCACCGATCGGTTGTGTGGAAATGAATTAATCTCCCATATCGTGACCCTTAATTATAACTGGGAGACATCTCGGGAAGATTGGGTGGTATTCTATCTACAAAGTTTGCCGGGAACTGTCCACATTTTCCACTACTCTCCCCATACAGCCACTGGTCATTCAAGCGACCCATCACACGGACCGCACTGCCCTCCTGTTGTAAAGATAAAATGGTCGAAAGTTTAGTTCACCAAAATAATTTTACAATGAAGTAAATTTAAAGAATTAAACTACAGGTTCAATGTTCAAACATTTCGGGCAATATAATTGATGTTAATAACTACGGCTGATTCATAATGGATTTACCGGCACAGACATACAGACATCCTGACAGAGAGATGGATAGACTCGTAACACAACTCAACTGATAAACAAGAACTAAAAGGAGTACAGTACAGTACCATATCCCCCCGACTGAAAAAACAGGATAATGGTGTAAAACTAGGCTGGTTACAAGACGCCAACAAGTACTGTACAGTAACACCAAACAAGACTTGCCATGATGCACCGTCACAAAAAAATTGAAATCAATCCACTGAGGTAAAGTAATGGTATGATATTAAGCAACAACCAAGTCTTACAAGGAGGAAGAGAAATGAACATCACTACTAATATTCCACACATAGTTGAGCTGGAGGATTAACAACAACAGAACAGTACAGTACAGTACAGCACAGCACAGCACAGTATCAACTTACAAAATGTAAGCACACTGTACAGTACAGGATGTTAAAAGTGATCAACACTGAGCTTCACAAACTGTATTAAACTGAGATGCATACAGTAAAGAATATGAGTAAATGGTCTCACAATCTTCCAAATCATGCTTTTGAACTCTGCTGAATTACTGACCAACACATAAGGTATATGCACTGTACTGTATAATGTATTCAACATAACCAAGTTTTACTTAAAACTACTGTATAGCCTTAATACCATAGACTTTAAACTGTCTTTACACTTCCATTAATTACAGCTCTTTTTCCTAATCATAAAGTACTTTTTAGAATAAAGTTCCAAATATTTTAAGATCCTCTTCAGTAAAAACCGAGATATTTATCCTGAAGATTAATTTTACAGCAAGAGACGAGCACAAGGAGTCTTATACAGTACAGAACAGGTTGTGTCTCGCTTAACTGTTATTTTAAACGGAAAAAAATATTAACATTTGGTACCGACTAAAACTGCACTCTTGTGTTACCTATAGTGTCCAAAACATAAACAATGGATGCCTTACCACCTCCAGCATTGTCTACTCAAAAGAAAAAAGTAATATACTTTAACAATATTGTGGTGACTGGATGTAAGTGAGACTGTAAACACACTTGTCCATATACAGTACTGTACCGTATACACTAAACCCTTGTTATTACCGGGTTTGCGATTCGAGGTTTTGACTTCGCGGTAAGATGGTGGCTAGCTGACGAGCAACTGAGTCACCCCCATGCACCCGCAGCGTCTCCTCTCCCTTGTTTGCGCTCAACCATTGCCTGTGATGCGGCATCTCTTGTGTTGTGCTCCAAGCTTTAGTGTTTGTGTATGAAATGGCCCCTAAAATACTGCCTAGTGTCAGTGCTAGTGATGCTAGTGGAGTGAAATGTAAAAGGCAAAATTCAGTGATGACCCTGACAAAGTTAAATAATTAGATAAGTTAAAAGAGGGGATGAGTGCTGCCGCAGCTGGTCGGTTGTTTGGTATAGGTATACAGCAGTGCACCAAGTTGTTATTCACGCCATTCCTTGGAACCTAACCCCCGTGTATAACAAGGGTTCACTATACAGTATTACAGTAACTCATTTCTATGATCTGAAAGCTAATACACAACAGACACAGGCATTCACCGACTTACAAAGGAATTCCGTTTTTGAAAACTTTTCGTAAATTGAAGCATATTTCCCATAGAATTTCATTACAAAAGCTGAGTTACATTCCTACAAAAAAAAAAAAAAAATTACTATATATAATACTTCCCCAAATGTTTAAAATGCCCCAAAATGCTACAAAACATGTTTTTAATTATAATTTTTGGTGTACACAATGAATATAAGCCAATAATAAACATACGAAGCAAAATGCATGCAGTACAGTACAGTAAAGCTTTTATACTGTACAGATACTTACAAGAAACCAGACAACACTGGAAACAGTGATAATTTATAATAGTCAAATTACCCGAGTACATGAAGACATTGACATCCATCATGTACCAAGAGATACGTTTATATGGTAAGGATGCTTTTCCTCAAACAAACATGTCATTGATAGAACCCAGTTTCACAGTGCTAAGTGTGTGTGGGGGAGATGAAGCTAGCCAGATGTCAGGTTCATCTTGGCTGACGCTCCAACTAACATTCTCTACACCTCAAAACATTTTTCATTCCAAATCCATGACTTCTCTTACAACTGTACACCTTTATAGTACAGTACTGTACTACATACTATAACTAGCATATGTATAATTGGAGAATACAGTACAGACTAATTTTCTTTTATTTATTTTTCCACATATTACATGAGAGTAAATGAGGAGAAATTAGGCAATCAATAAACTGGCTGAGTGACTGTGTTGTGCTGGTGGAGAAGTCTTCAGTAAGTTATGTGACGAGCGATGATACATCGAGTTTATTTGTACAGTAGCTGTAATAACACCACGAGCGAGTGTTAGAGATGAGTGAAATAACTTGGTCAAATAAGTAAGTACAGTACAGTATACTGGTCGTAAAAAAAAATCATAAGGTTAACATCTTTTTATCATAACTAACAAAAAAATTATGAAAATAACAAGAGACCATAATATCAGGGTTTTCATTTATAAACCAAACCTTGAGACAGAGTACACCTCCCCACCCACCCACATATAAACACCACCTCACATATAAACACATTTCCTAACACAACCACACATCCCCTACCAACAAGCTTAGTGTTTATGTTTCTTTCCCTGTACAGTAGCTAAAACAACTATCTGTGCATACTCTGTGGGAAACAATATGAGACCATGGACGATAAATATTGGCATAGGAGGGCTGTCACTAGTCACGCGTAAAATTTTGGAGCATATCAACCCCCACCTGCACAGATAGTTGTTTAAGCTACTGTACATACAGTACAGTACTGTACTGCATTAATTTGGCAGAAACTCTTTATAAGTACAGTACGGTACTGCTTTATATTAACAATTATTTCATTTTCTTTCTTAAAAAAATAATTTATAATGTTTTCAGTGACAAAACCTTGTACTGTATACACTTTATTCTGGGATAATATATACTCTGACTTTCTCATATTCCACCATACTTTACTTTTATTCTTACCTATATTTTAGGCCCTTTATGATATTTAAAAAAATCAGAACATTCCCCAGTCAGGTTCATCTCCAGTTCCAAGCTTGGCAGATAAATGAGATACTCCCGTGTATGTCTAGTGACTGTGGCTGTGATGTCCACTTCATGTTTGGTCACTGTGGTAAGACAACAGCAGCAGCTTACCTGTCCAACACATACCTAGGATTTTCAGCTCTAACAGAATGAAGGATTGATCCTGAAGTCCTCTTTTCTAGTTCAGCTCATAACCAGGCAGATCCTGGTCATGAACAAGCAGTTTTGGTGGTCTTCCCATTGAAATATCTCTTAAAAGGATGAACTGAGAGCAAAGGTTGACCACCCTACAGGCAACAGGTCTGTAAAATCATCCAGGTCCATTGGCGAAAACGTAAGGCATAACAGTTAAGTAAAAAAAAAATTATTTGAGTCAATTTGCTATCTGGGATTTAGCTTCCTGTTGGTTACCAACAAACCCATGGGAGGAGGAAACCACCTGGCTACAGGCTTCAGGATCAGTCCTCAACATCTAGCAGGATACCTTCAGCTAAATGACTTCTAATAACAAGAGCCAGCTAGAAGGCTATCAATACTGTACAGTACAGTACTCCACAAACTAGGAAGACATGCACCCCACCAAGAGATCCAAATTAAGCAGAGAAGGGTGGAGACGGCAGCCCTAATACTCCTGTACCTTACAGTTCTTTGTAGTTATCCTGGAACCACAGTGAAGTCTGGGGCCGTCAGTATCCAGCGCCCCTAGGATAATCAACGTCTTATTAATGCATCCACTCACAACGGGTCCAAACTAGTTCACAAGCGAACCAACCTGTAGCTACAGTACAGTACATTATACATATATTGTTTCATTTATGTCTCGCTGATAGTCTACACACATTACCATCAAAGTTTCCAGAACAACTTCTAACATGGCTTCCTTTATTATTGCCAAGTGCTGAACACATATACAGTATTGTCTCGATTTAACGAACTAATTTGAGCCACCCCTTTCTGTTAAATTGAAATTTCTGCCAAATCGAACTTTCCGTTATTTTCCAGCCAAATGCACCGTTTGGCATGAGGGGTTTATTTACATCCGGTTAGTCTGTATCCTGCCACCAATGCGTGTGTTGTTCACTGCTACCTCTCGGTCAACTAACTGCTGTACTGTGCTTAGACATCATGCTAAAAGTGTCTCAGAAAGCAAGTGGTGTGGGGGAGAAAGTCAAAAGAGTGCAGCTATCAATTGGAAAAAGAGTGGAAATTATAGAAAAAACAAACATTGAACTCCCTAGTTTAAGGTAAGCCATGAATAATGTTTCTATGTACACACTCATGTGTCTGAGGTGTCTCCATAGGTGTGAGCGTATTAACGGAATTAATCTTGATTTAGCGAGCTAGTTCACTAAATTGAGTGAAAAATAATGGAAAAAATTCCGTTCGCTAAATCGAAAGTTCGCTATATCAAATTCGTTAAATCAAGAGTACTGTATACTGTATTTTATTATTTTAATAGGAAATGACTAATAATAATACAATACTGGAAATAGGTTGATGATGAATGATATGCTGTGACATGCACCCCTGGATGTGACTACCCTGGTGTAACAGTCAGCCAGGAGCCACAAGTGAGCACTGTCCAGAACTCCTTGTACTGTACTGTTTTGTCTGACACTTCCACAGTGTTTAGTATTGCAGTTAATAAACATATTTTCTGTGGTCTGATAACAACACAGTACATACAGTACTTACATACATCTCAGCAGATAAATCAGTTTATATAAAGTGTAAAACTAAACAAATGGGATATACTCTGCCTGCATGCACTACAGGAGGTTGATGCATTACAAAAGAAGTTACATAATACTGGGTAAATTTATTACCATCCATGAAGGGCTTGAGAGGTATTGGAACGACCATGTCTGTCTGTGTGTCAGTATCTGCACCATCAGCAATGGTGTAAAGAAACATACAGTACCTCAGCCATAACTGCACCATATCTTGCCAAACATCACAGATGAACGATGTCAAGTATAAAGTAAGCACTGAACTGTTCTGGGAGGTCAAAGTTATCATAATTTCATAAAACCATAATTTCTGTGACAACTCTGGAATGAAGTATAGTAGAAGGATAAAACTCGGTGTATTAGATTCCTCAAAGAAAGACCCGCCAAAAGTAAAAACATAACATCCCAACATGTACAGTATGCACACACAGTAGAGCATCACTTCCAAATTAAAACCATAAGTCTTGGCTGGGCCTCACAACCTGTCACACAGTTTCTCAGTAACTTCCATGTCTTTCGTTGCAAGTACTGTACAGTATTTCACTTATTATGTTTATAATCATTGTACTGTATACACAAAATATCTCCAGTTAAACAAGTTTTGTACCATTTTAAAATGTTTTGGGGAAGTTTTTTCGTGGGAACATATCTCAGCTTTCATAATGATAGTCTATGGGAAAATGTGAACTGATAAATGATTTAAGGAAGGTTTTCAGGGACAATTCTAACCCTTTAATAAATCAGGGATTGTTTGTACTATAGTATTTTAACTGGTAGTTTGTTAATATTCCTTGAGTTTTTAACATCAAAACCTGGCATTAAACATAGTGCACTGTAGTAAAACTCAACATTATATGTAATAATGTACAGTACATAAAATAATTCTCTGATTGGTAGTTGTATAAATTTACTCAATAAAAAGTACAGTACAGTACAGCATAGTACCCAGCATACAAAATTCATGATATCCAGAAACAGTAAATATCAAGGGTTTAATATAGTGTAAATATAATAGTGACATCACTATGATGAAGCAAGTTTTGTGGTCACTCTAATAAATATTGATAACTATTTAAAACACTTAACTTGTAATAATGTAAAAAATTTAATACCATCTGTTTTTGCTTGTGATTATGCTTTGATTTTTAGTGATTTTATCAGGACTTGGACACAGTGTTTATCATTGACACACAACCTAAAGTATTTTGGGAGATGCAATAAGTGTCATCTGTGCTTCAGTGTTGAAGGTTTAGAGAAGGAAGGGAACTTTGTCGTGGTAGATGATGACAACCCATCATTTGGAGAATAGTAAGAGTAAGACAAACAACTGATCCATCGAACATAACCGCCTCGCTGGGCTACAAATCCCCCAAGGTCATCGAGGAAACCCGTGGATACTTAAAGCTGGATACAGTACTGTACCGAGGTTGGTAAAACAATGAACAAAGTATAAAATGTGAATACCGTACTGTATTTAAAACCAAGGTGAGTATACCCATGGTGGGTGAGAGGTTACTGTATTGTATTTGCAGTTAGTTATTTATAAAACTTTCCCAAGTCATGTATGTGTTCAAACAGACACACACAATAACCTCATACAATACACTCATCATGGTATCCTATTTTAGGTTATAAATCTGAAAATGATTAAAACCTTTGTGTGTTTATTGCCTTTATGAAGAAAAAAATATCTTGAAAATGTTTATCTAGAAGCAAAGTTATACTGTTGTTTTAAGGTCATAGCCATAGTGAGTGTTGGAAGGAGTCTGCTGTCTCCTTCTTTATAGTCATCTGCTAATTTGTGACATTTTAGAATTAATATGACCACTGTACATATATCCAGCTAAGTGGCAACTGTTTTGTTGTGAGGAAGAAAAACTGGGAAAATATCAATGTAGAGGTAAAGTCTGATGTATAAATGGTGTAGCCCGGCCAGTCATAGTGGGTGTTGGAGGATGTAGAAAACAAATGTTATTAATAAAGACATCAAAAGTTACATGTTGTTATTGTCTGTCTGTGAGTCTTTACAACTATAACTTCAGCAAACCCTCACCAAAATGGATAAAACTTCCAGTTCAATGAAAACAGCTCCTCTGGGAAGAAAAAACTAAACGAAACTGTTACTCTATGGTAATTAAGATGTAAGGCAGACTAAGCTTAGGCAACAGTGATGAGGAAGCTGAAGCTGCTGCTTGATTGAGGCTCTCAAATATTTTTCCTAGATATTCTCTGGTAAATAAAGGTTGCGTCTAATGTCGTGTTTCTTCTTTAAGCCCTACAATGTGTTTCCTGGTCATGGAGTACACTTACTCACTCATCCTTGTTCAGTTTTAGAGAATTCACCACCTTTTCTTTATACTGTACAGTACTGTGCTGTTCTCACTACCATCACTTTTGTATTTATGTAAGACATCTTATGGGCAGGCAGCACACCTGGCTAGAATCCACATTGTTTTCTGAGTGACAAAAGAATACTGTAGCAGCATGAACTGATGTACTTTGGAGGGAATTTTGAAATTTAAAGTAATCATTATTTTTTTAAATAATTTTTGAGTCCTTATACTCAAGTATATTTGTATGTATTTCATGTTACTTTTAAGTGTTTCCATATGAAAAATTCCCCTTTGGGATGCATAACTGCGAGAATATCATGAAATTGTCGAAGAACAACAGATCACGAATGTGAAAATTAAATGTGTCCAACTATGACCGAGCATGGCTTGGGAGATATTATTTTGTGTATACAATTAGGGAAAAGAAGAAGTCGTCCCATTAATGGACTAAACCATCACAAAAATGTGTACTAGTACTGTACATGTATTGGGAAGGTTTACTGTATGCATTAACAGCAACATGACATGGGAAAAACATTATGTTAATCATACATACATATATAGTGAGGTCTTCTGGTGCCTCAGCCTGGAAAGTATATATGGCTGTAACAACTTGGGAGGAACCAATGCTGGTGTTTAAGGCAGGAGGCTGATGAGATGAAGTGGCTGCATTTATCACAGATGAATGACTAGATGACACTACTGGAGGCTTTTCACCAGCAAGAGGTACAACAGTCTAGAAAAGAAAATGAAGAAGTAAGTACATAATGTAAAGTGGTAAGAGAAACTGGTGTCAGGATGCTAAAGTATAATGGATGGAAGAAAGGTTGTCACATACTTTTTACCTTTACTTTTATCTTCTTCGCCACTGATCGGCTCATTAGCCGCTTGGGCGGTCGGTCACATCTCTGTTATGCACTGATGGCAAGTACTGGGCATGCACTGGGTTTTAAAGATAATGATAATCAGCTGGATGTGAGTATGGACAGGTCAAGAATTAGCAGTTGATTGACTGACATGACTGATAAGAGATCTGAACAAGACCTCTCACTGAATAAGTCAACCCCCACATCACTTTATAATGTTCCTGATGTAACTAGATGAGACGTCTTACAGCAATTATAGTATTTTCATAGACAACTTGAGGATTAACACTAAACTATTATAACCTGAGACATTATCAGAGGGTGTTCAACAGTTGCTAATTGAAGTCAATCATCAAAGCCTATAAACTATAACATAAAAATGTACCACAAATGCTAAAGAGTAAAATGTTTTCTAGTAAAATAAATTTTTAATTAAATAAAAATCAAATTTGTAACTGTAACATCACCTTTATAAAAGCCTGAGGAAACATCCCCTCTTTGAGCCCACACCGCCCAAACAGCCACTCTTCACTAATCCTGTACAGAAGCTGGACGACATCACCAACCTGTGGATACACCTGTGTTAGAGTCACTGAAGATAATTGTTTTTATTGAAGATTATAATGTGGATAGATATGTCAAAGTGGGTGACATAGCCCTGACAGTTGTTAGGGTCACAGTACAGATAAGAACAGTAACCTTTTGTCAACTGTTGCTTTATCATCCTTAGTGTTGGGTAACCATTTTGTACTACACTGTTTTACCAACCACAGTATTTGTACAGTATCAAGTATCACGAAAACTTGGAAACCTACATGTTTGTACACAAGTCTCAGGATTTTTCTACAGGGCTCATGTTCATAAACTACTTCTTCACATTTCAATTTAATGGTTTAAATTACTATATAAATCAAGTTTCAAATTATAATAAAGACCAAATATGCAATGATCTGTACAGTAATGACAAATATTTACAATAAGTATTTGGTAAACATAGGTACAGTGGTAGTACAGTATAAGACTTTATCAACAAACCTTCATGAAAATAATTTGTTTTAATAATACTTTACCCTGAAATCCAGATCACTTGTTTGAGAAGCAACAAAATCAAACTCGGCCACACCATGCGGTCTGTCCTCATCTTCATCCTGTAGCACAAGTAACAACACTATAGACTCATGAATACTTTAACTGTACGGTTAAGAGAGTAACAGTCGGCTAAGCAAATGCCTCGTCTGATATATCTAAGATATTAATTTGATTCTATGTAATAAATGTGTGGTAATTCATCACATCTAAAGACCAGAAACACTCAGTTAACACGTTAACTCGGTTTCCTCACCTCGGCTTCTGGGCGTGGAGGGAGAGGCGGAGGTTCCTCTGGGATGGTCTGATCTATAATGTGGGTACTTGAACCTCTTGATGCAGCAGCACTCCAGTTGATGCTTACCAAGTCAGACAACTGATTATTCATACTAATGCCACTGTCACCTGCACTCTCTACTTGACAACTGGAAACTGGTGCCTTTGGACGGATAATTGTTGGCCTGAAACTGTTCTTTTGTTCTGGTTTATTACTGGTGTTCTGAGTGGCTGGTTGGGACACTGAAGCAGACACTCTAGCAGGTGGAGCAGTACCCTGGATTTGCATTACACAAGTCTGAGGTTTTTGTGTCTGCGTGCTGTTCATATTTGCTCTCCGAGCCAACATGTCAAAAGGATCTTGGTTCGCGTTTGTCTCCCGCACAGTCTGGGCTACAGGGCCTGCAAAAGTGCTGGAAAAAAAAGATGACGCCCCCACCTTTCTGGGTTGTACAAAAGCACTGGGTTCTTGGACCGAGGCAAAAGGATCGAATATATCATCAAAACCCGAGCTCTGGTTTCCTGTTGAAGATTCACTACCAAAGCTGTTGACACTGAGACCATCACTGCCAGATCTTGTTGTGGGTGAACTAGGTGGTGATGAAAAGTCTATTAAGGAAGCTTCACATACAGGTGTGCTGGGAGCTGACATGGTGGTGTGTGCAGAGGACAGTCTGGGCCTGGAGGGTGGAGGACCCCGCAGTTTACTAAACATACTCCCACATCTTGATGAATTATTTTGTTCTAGCTGGTGGTGGGTCTTCTGTATATGAAAGAAATATTTTAATTTTTTTTAATTTATCTATATTTCAACAGTGTTATTTGTGTTAACTAAACAAATTATTCAAAGAATGTAAAGTTGCTAATATCACTTATTCAACAGTATAAAAAATATTTTGAAAAAGTTGAAGAAAGAAAGTTCACTGCAAGCAGCAAGGAGAATCCACTTTGATGGAGGTTCATTATAAAAGTATTTGGTACAGTTTATGAAAGTTTCATACCTAAGACAGTCTTCACACTGGTGAAGCTAATCATACAAGAGTTATCCTAAGTGGGAAACACATATAAACTGTATATTCAGCATAAGCAACTGTCTAATAATCTAATTAGTTATATATATATTCATCTTGCTTTTATCTTTGTATCTAAAGCACAATATTAAATGGTCATAATAACCACAGATATTAACTATATTAAGTGACATTACAGCAGCACTATAGTATTGCTCTATCTCGTACTTAAGAGATCAAGTACTGCACAGCACAGACTGGGTCTTGCTAATATTACATCATGGTTTTAATCAGACAAATATCCTCTAAACTGGGAGGGTAATGTTGAGCAAATATCAAAGAATGAGTTCCATAATTAGAGAGTGATGCAGTGTATACAATAAAAGACAATACAATAACAAAATGCAAGCGTAGAGTAGCAGCACATATGTTCACAAAATAATGGTTATGTGAAGAGCAATCATGTCAGGTCAAAGAGGCTATAATAGAACTGGGATATCACCATTTAAGGATCACTTTTTAGGTTTGCACGTTAACAAGCAGGCATGGATATAATACTTACCTATGAACCATCCTATACTATAATCTAAAGTTAAGCTCAACTTGCACTTACAGGAAACAAAAAAATCTTAAAACTTGGCTTAATAAATTCCATTTCAAGCAAGAAGGAAACTCAATCATTTCAAGAACAACTACTGACCTTTCTAACTGAAAACTTATGCAATCTGTGAAATATTGGGTGTGATTTTTCCAGGGAGGGCTGTAGGAGACAAGTGAGGCATGTTATTGGTGAGGCAAAGTCCTGTTTCCTCCATATACTGTACTGTATTGTATAACCTGATTAACTAAATACCACTATAAAAGTCAACCAGCTAACTGAGGAATAACATGCATCATATAATGTGAGACTAATCCTAAAATCCCATTTTATAAACCAACCAAGACCAGTATTCCTATTGTGTGTGGCTGATACAGTACTGTACTAGAATCTAGACATAAGGAAATATTATCTTTCCCGTATCAAATGAGTCGCTAAAGTGGGGGAGTCAGCTGAGAGTTTAGTCTTCACCTGCAGCACCTGTGCTTCACCATCAATGGTAAGTTAGAAAATGGGTAAATATATGAACATGTCTCAGTTCCAGCTCACCTCGGAGCCCTAATAGAGGATGCCTGATCCATGCTTGTTTCTAAGATGGGATTTCAGGATCAACCCCTCTTTTATATCTCACACAGTGGGTCGGGCAACTCAATATCTTGAAAAGACAATCCAGATGTTGTAACTGAATATTTTCTTGTGAGACTCACTCTCTCAGGTAACTTGTTACCTTTATCTTTTTTATACCTACAGTATTATTACTGATGGACCCTGGGTTCTTGACTTTATTCTGCCACTTACCCCACAGTGTTGGCCTGACCAGTCACTTACCCCACAGTGTTGACCTGACCAGTCACTTACCCCACAGTGTTGACCTGACCAGTCACTTACCCCACAGTGTTGACCTGACCAGTCACTTACCCCACAGTGTTGGACTGACCAGTCACTTACCACAGTGTTGGCCTGACCAGTCACTTACCCCACAGTGTTGACCTGACCAGTCACTTACCCCACAGTGTTGGACTGACCAGTCACTTACCACAGTGTTGGCCTGACCAGTCACTTACCACAGTGTTGGTTTGACCAGTCACCCACTCTCACCCCACAAATAATCCTAACCATGGCATGAGTGTAATAAGCTATTAATTATTAAAGGAAATGGCTGTAAATTAGGGGGAAGAAAGAAAAACATCATTAAATAATGCAGAGCTGCACAATAATATATTACACTGGAGTAGCAATATTTTACACATTTTCCCCAGCTGATACAGAAGGAAGATGGGAAGCATTTTCACAGAGAAAGGTTAAAATTATCGTACATTTATCTTTTGTCAGTAAACTCTTATGCAGAAGAAGTTATACTTGCATTACAGTATTTTAAACTTGGCTTCTTTACCCTCAGATATGGGTAATTTTACCCCTTGAGGATACATTTACCCCAGGTTAAGAACCCCAGCATTAGACTGTATCCCCAGCTAAATAGAGATACTGTACTGTCCTGTAGTGTATTGTGGTAATTAGCTGGAATGTCCAGATCTGTTAACTCCTGAAACAGTAATTTCACTAAGCCTCCAACCATCACCAAAGTATTATTTCTACTTGTGTAAATTGCTGAGCTGCATCTACCCAAAAGTTCCCTCTTCATGCACTGTATTTCCTTCATTATTTGGACTTTTCAGCACATTGGTTGCTTTATTAATCACTGACTTCTATGAAAAAGTTGAAGAGATCATTCTAACTACAGTACAGTACAGCACAGCACAGTACAACACAGTACAGTACAGTACAGTACAATACAATACAGTACAGTACAGCACAGCACAGTAGTACAGCAAAGTACAGTACAGTACAAACTGTCTAATAGTGTACAGTATATGAGTTAACAAGCATCAGCAAATAGTGAATGCAAAGTTGAGAGTTTCATTTTCACCAATAGTAAACACTGTGTTACTCTGCTTAACTCACAATGTGTTCACCCTTATAAAGTACTGTATAATCTAATGAATATATTCTGTGTGCCTGTACTTCAAGTTTGACCAATGTACACTCGCAACAAAAAGTATCGGTGCATACTGTAGTGTGAACAATTTGAGACCAGTGACGATAGGTATTGGGAAAGGCGAGTTGTTCCAGCCGTATGTTGGCAGCCCTGATTGTCAGCCATATGGCAACACCTAGTGGAGGGGGGGGAGGGGGGGGGGGTTTATGAGGATACACTTACCAACCTTCCCGACATATCACAGCGTATACGTATCGTAAGTCATCGATCTCACCCTGCACCGATACTTTTTGGTGCGAGTGTACAGTACAGTATCTCTATTTATTGATGTTATAATTTACCCATAAAAATAATTTAAATTAGTACTGTACCTGTACTTTACAGATTAATTACTTTTTGGTATTTTCTGCTGTATGCATTACAGAGAACTACATTTATAAAGGTGAACCATATTTTGTTCCTCAAATCAATGGACAGTTGATAGTGAATCACAGGCTCAAATTACACTGACTCAGCACATTTCCTACATATCAATACTGTACATATTTTATTCTGGCTACGGCCAGACTATTTTATTCAGCTTAGGGTAACCTCCCGCAGACAAGGGGTTAAGAGTGAATTAAATCAAATATAGGTCAATGTTTTCACATGCCCTACACAGTGCACTGAAAGAACATGACGTAGTACTGTACAGCACTGTACTAACCTGTGTGGTGTTCACTTTAGGCGGTGGCGGCCTTGGCGGCGGCGCTTTCTTCTTCTGTACGCCGTTGGTGAGAGGTAATGAAGCTGATCTTGGCAATCCATTGTGGCAACTTCTTTGTGACGACACTTTATTTGATGTTCTGGAGACCGGTCGAGGTCTTTCCTCTTCCTCCGACTGTATAATTAGTAGATCATCATTCCTGTAATGTAAATATCATTGTACCTCATACATCACACCAGCCTGTAAGTACTGTACTTAATTATGACACACCCACAGCATTAATTATGATTTCCCATTTCTTTTATGAAAATACTGTACAGCTTGGTGACCTGAGTACAGTACTGTAATGTGTTAATTATAATGATGGGTGTCTACACTAGTGAGGCCACAACTAACTATCTTATCATCAGTCTACACCGGTGGTGAAACTATGCCAGGAGTTTGATCCCCGGGCAGGGAGTGAAACGAGTGTTATCCTCTGTAACTTTATCAAACATTGTAGATTTTATCTGGGTACTCCAGCTTGTTTCCTTCTCTACTAACACAGGACAATGAAAGTCCTGCATAACAAAAACAACACCCCAACTGCCTGAATATGTGTGTGTGTGTGTGTGTGTGTGTGTGTGTGTGTGTGTGTCCGCCCAAGTAAATAAAAATGAACAGGTGAAACACAGAACATTAAAAATTAAATTTTGGGGAAAGTTAAATAGCTCTCAGCCTAATGTTATTGGATTCCTGGAATATAACCGAGCAGGACAGGTGGAGGGTTCTTGTAAACACACTACTGTACTGTACATAAGTTACCACCTCCAGTAAAGTGAGAAATGAGAAGAGTTGACCTTTAAGTAAAGTCTGACACACTAATGTACACAACACAAACCCTTGGGATGATGTATCAACCTTTATACTATACTGCACTTTATACAGGAAGAATTATAGAGGAAAAAATACTATTAGGACTAGATTGAGGAAAATTTGAGAACTGGGCCAGAATAAATATACTGTATTGTACTGTAAAAATATTTTGAATAGGACTTAACATGGCCTTCTACACAAGCCAAAATATTCCAAAGAGATGTAGTTCTATTGATGGTGTAACCAACCATATCTCCAGCCTGGCAACACAACAAAATATCTGGGAGATTAATAAGCATAAAGTCTGCCAATATACTGAGGTCCTACAGTCACATTATCACTTAACAAAATAATATGCAAACTCACCACATATATATTCTTAGAAAGACATGCAAACATAAAATAGATATAATATAAATAACAAAGTTACAAAATATATAAACATATACACTACTGTCTCAGTGGGTGAATGTACTGTCCTGTACATAAGTACTTTGAAAGCATGATAAAGAAGCCTCCCAACTTTCATTAAACAAGAATTATAATTTCCTGTAACAAAAACATTCCCAAAAGCTATACAGTACAGTACAATAAAGTGTGACTTTGTAACACAACTATAAATCCAGTGGCTACTGTATTGTTTATATGGTAAGGCAAGTCTATATTATTGAGAAGATGTATGAAAGGGGTTTTAATACATACAGACACAGCATAATTGACATTTAAATATCTCACTCCAGAAGTGCCCATTTTTCCTATACTGTATACAGTATATGTTTTTTTATTCAGTACACAAAAATTCACTTAACGAATGGTTTTCAGGAGCCTAACCCACTGGCATAACATAAGAATGGAGGAAACTAAAGTTGGCCTATTGACCCATACTGCACAGTCCCGTGTACACCTAACCCCTATCGTTCATATAGCCATCCAATCTTTGTTTGAAGCTATCCAGCATATGGTTGAAGCTATCCAGCCTATGTTTGAAACTATCCAGCATATGTTTGAAGCTATCCAGCCTATGTTTGAAGCTATCCAGCATATGGTTGAAGCTATCCAGCCTATGTTTGAAGCTATCCAGCATATGTTTGAAGCTATCCAGCCTATGTTTGAAGCTATCCAGCCTATGTTTGAAGCTATCCAGCCTATGTTTGAAGCTATCCAGCGTATTAGCGAGGGATACCTGTATCTGCAGAAGTACGTACGTGTGATTGGACAGATAGTACCATTATAAAATGTGCACACTGTCTGTTCAGCAGGCACTGACTATACAGTACTGTACTGCCATATCTATACTGTTCTTGTGTCAAAAGATAAAGTACAGTAGACATATACCAGGACAGAAACAAACTGTTACTCATAACACAAGTTTAGATACAGCACCATGGGATGGCTTTAAATAAATATCAGCAGTATTATGTGGCTTCTCTCTACAACACTAACACATACGACTGTGTGACAACTTGTCTATTAGTCTTCAAATAAATACCCTACATTAAAAAGTACTGTACTCCGCTGTCAAACACAGATACACGTGGGAAACATCCGAGCACCTGTGGATCAACACGTTAACTGAGGGTGTTCAGTCTGAGGCCTCTTTATATATAGCTTTAGTCATGGAGAATATGCTCAGTTAAGCTATTACAGACACCTGTATCATCTGACCCCAGGAAAGATCCTGTCACCAGCTTTCTCAAGTGCAATACTGTATTGTACAAGAGGATTCCTGGTAACTCTGTTGGTCAACCCACAAGTATTACTGATCTACTACAGGACATCCGTTATAAAAGTAAGTGAGGGTAAATAATTCAGCTTCATATGTGACAGTGATACATACCGTGGCTGTGGCCCCATTGATCGAGATTTGGGGGGAGGCGGCGCAGGTCGAACAGGTCGAATATCTGCAAAATGGAATAAATTTTAATTCATGAGTCATACAGACTTAAATCATAACAGTACTGTACCTACATTACAGTATTTTTTAATCTTTAATTTATTTCAATTTCTAATTGGTTAATTACTTTTTGGGAATGGATTTTCATTATTATAATCATTATTAATGGGTATAAAACATTAAAACTCACATAACAAATTAAATCACAAGTAGAAGTCAACATTGGGTGGACAGGTTAGGAGAACCTTACTCTTTTGAGAAAAACTTGGGGAAAATGAAAGAAAACTAAAGTATATTCCTCTACCAAATTCAGGTTATTATTTAAAAAAAAAAAGAATAAGTTTTCTTCTACGGAGACTTTTCATTGGTCACCCCGGACCACTGTTGTTAATTGTTACCAAATCTTACTATTTGCCAGAAGGATACAGTAACCCAAATGTGATGAAGAAATTGTACCATTTGTATATTAATTTTTCCCAAGTTCTCCCTGTAAATAAAGACACTGTGTTAATCCAGCCAACCAACAGTTAAGTGACGGAACACTTCTCCAGTCACCTTTCCTAACAAACATTTGCTTAGTACCACCACCGGAACCTAACCTACTTGTAACTAATTTTACCGTAACCAATCATAATCTACCTCACCTAACCTAACCTACCTAACTAAATGTAAACAAGAGTACAGGGTATGTCTACTTGCATCCTAGGACAGCTACAGGTAAGGAAAGATCACCGAGAAAGTTTTAACTCTTTATACAATTAGGCAGTGGATATTTTGCCGTGACCGGTAAGTTCCTTCTAACGCTAATTTACCGTAAGTGCATTCTGATCTGCTTATCGTCTATTACCAGAGAACAACACGAGAACTATAGTTGACCGTGAGTCTGGCGGCATTTGGCATTTGTTTCTCCGTGAGTCGAATGTTGTGTAGCTATAAACATACCTAACCATAGTTCTGTTGTGCATGGAAACTTATTATAAGAGTCGACATTTACTAGAACCTAGTAGAACCTGCCCTAACCAACCAAAGAAACCTACCTAACCTTACCTAACCTAACTTCTTAAACGGGGCGAACCCCCGTCATATTAAACAGAAAGTACTTAGCGAATCAGGGCGCACTCAAGGTAAAACAGCATTAGTAGGAACTTGCTCAGTCACGGTAAAATATCCACTACAATACAATATGATTAAAGGTTCGTGTTTGTTATGAAGTACGAAACAGAAGCATTACTGCGTAAAACATTTGCTACTGGATTACTATCGCTTCAGGCATGCAGCTCATTTAGCTTTAGGTCAGGTTGAAATTGTTTTTACAATGGTTTTTTATGTGTTTTTAACGATTCTGACTTTCGGAAATAAATGTATGAACGAAACAATAATTTTACCAAACGATTTATATGTAAAGAGTAATTACTCCACCCAGTAAACCTTTACTCAAGTGCTGCGAGCGATTTTACCAGCAAAAAGCATTTTTTCCTGCATGAATTTTGCTGCTTTTTTTATTGGAGATAGATGTTTTTTTTTCTGGGGGAAAACAAAAAAACTAATGTTTTCATTATTTAACCTAACATAACCCAACCTAACCTAACCTGACCTTACCCCCTAGTATTTAACTTATCCTTATATAACCTAACATAACGTATTACCCTATCGAGGAAAAGCTATTTTTTCAGAGTTGGTTCATGCGATTCAGACGACCCTCCCATGGCTCACCGACGGTATTATAATATATATTATAAAAAAGAAACACTTACCCAAAAGAGAACTGTCACTAGCAATTAACAACCCAAATTATGGTGGAAAACAGCGTTCTTGCTAGAATCATTGACAGCATTAATCTACACGTTAACCCTCCACCCAATTTAGGTTAGGCTTAAGGTAATAAACAGGTTTTATTCTAGATTTTATATCAGGTAACTAGATAACCCAGACACCTGTACTAGAATGTTTCCCGAAGGAAGTGGTACCGAGTGAAGTGTTATTACGTTAGAGTTGTAATTCTTCAAGAAATCTTATTACAGATAATGATGTTAATAACTTTCCATCTTTCTGACACAACAACTCGAGTACAGTAATGTTGCAAAAAGCTTAAGAGGCTTATTTAATCCACATATATCAGTCCTTGTAAATTACACCTGGAGTAATGTTGTTAAAGGAGAGTGAAGTAGACACAACATTATCTACCTCACAACACCACCGCCAAGCTTTACTACAGCAGGTGATTAGAGAGTAATTACCTCCTGTCAGAAGGTCGTCCATAGTTGTTACAACCTACAACAACCTCCTTGGCCTGACCTAACACTTACAGCCTCGGTGATTGGCCAAGAGAATAATTAACTGACCAATCACATCAGGGGATATATACTCCACGTCTCATGATTGGTCGGTTGGTAAACCTTTTAACCCGCCAGTTTTAAATCTGAACATCATAATCCTTTATAACTCTCAATTACTCACTTTATAATAGAGATAAACATTATATTATATTATAGCCTTATAATAGTCATGATGAATTATAATTATGGACAGGTAGTTTAGTCATTGTTTTGTTTGTTGGGGTAATTTGGTGTTTGTTTACCGTCATCAGCTGACCGAGGGAGGAGGTCGAGTCTCTCTTATCTTGACTATTGTTGGACTTAATCATCTTACAAGGTCAAGATGGAGTGTTAATAAGGAACAATAGTGTACTGAAGTGAGTGTCTCAGATGAGGGAGGTTTATTGTGTGTGTGATACTTTAATACTGTACTGTACACGTTGGCATACATACAGTCTCTTCCTGTACATTAAATACCATACAAAACACTATAGGAAGTTGATTTATAATTGTATTTTTAAATAATTAATGTATGTGAAAGGCTTAATTAGTTTCTCATCTTTCTAGTTAAGATGGTGACAATTCAGCGAAGGGATTATGTGAGGCTGTTGATCGCGCCAGCAACATTTGCAGCAGCTTCATTATTACTCTGGTTCCTTTTTGTCAGTAGACCTGCATTAAAAAGTGGCCTCAGACCGGTATGTACAGTACAGTACTGCATCACTTGCCTTGTTTGTTTTTAGTTGTATAAAAGTAGTTCCTCTTTACTGTGCTTGCAGTATTAAATTCCTCTGCAGAGACCATTTATTTTAAACTCTGTTTATTAACTCAAAAGCATAATGTGTCATATACTGTACAGTATATTATCACGTCAAGACGCCCTTGCTATCAGCCTTGCCCACATAGAGTACAGTACAGTTCTGTATTATAATTTCAGAAAACCATGAGCCTCCCTTCTTGACCTTACTGTACTGGTGCCTAGCAACATGTTTTCAACTGGACTCAGCCTGGGCAGTCCACTCACAGTATCGTATATATTCATACAGATTTGGTATCCAAAAGTACATCTACCCCACGTGTATGTAACAAGGCAGTGTATAATTTTTTGTTAAGTAAAATTAACAGATCATTCTGGTGAAATATATGACAGAAATTTACCACCGTCTCATCATGGACAGTACAGTATTCTCAAAGGGTAGAGGTACAGTAGGTTCCACCCAGACAGTCACTCTTCACCATGCCACTGTCCAGTGAACTACAGTATCATGTTGTCTTTCCAAGGATCCTTGGAAAGAATTCAGAGGAGAATGACAAGACTAATCCCGGGCATTAGGAACCTTGAGTACAGAGACAGGCTAAAGCATCTTAATTTGTGCTCCCTCGAGAGACGTAGAGCGAGGGGCGACCTGATAGAGGTGTATAAATGGAAGTCAGGGCTAAACAAAGGGGACATTTCAAAGGTACTCAAACTATCCAACCAGGAGTGAACTCGTAACAATGGTTTTAAATTAGACAAATTTAGATTTGGGCGCGAAATAGGTAAACATTGGTTTGGAAACAGAGTAGTGGATGAATGGAACAAGTTAGCAAATATCATCATTAACTCGAATACGCTGGATAGCTTCAAACATAGTTTGGATGCTTATATGAGCAATAGGGGTTGGGTATAAATGGGACTGCCCAGTATGGGCCAATAGGCCTGCTGCAGTTTCCTCCATTCTTATGTTCTTATGTTGTCAATGACTCCAGCACCATAGTGGCTTGTACTGTTGGGTTAGCTTTTATAATGTCCTTCTCTGGTGGCCTGTATGTGATTCAGTTGGCTAACCAAGTTGTTTGGTTCAAACGATATTCTGGCCAAATGGCAAGGTAGAAAAGGCTAATCTATGTAGCCCTACGTCAAACTCCTAACCCACCCGGGGAATCCCTTCGCAGTATAGGTCTGTTAAATAATTGTACTGTAGTAACATGCCTCCTAAGTCCACACACAATTTTGCATTCTATTGATTATAACAAATGTACTTATAAAGACCCCACAAAGTAGCACATTGTACTGTACTGTAGTAACGGGAAATAATTTTGACATTTGTTTTCTTAACTTTTACTAAATCTAATAATTTTGTAAAATAAATAATGTTGATTTTAAACAAAGTTCATTCAAACTAAAAGTGAACTTACAGTGCATATACCGGTACAGTAATTATCCCATTTGTTTACTTGTTCATCAGAATGAAGACCTTGTGTTAGTTAACCATAAGGAACACTTGTATCATGTGTGGCTCTTGGTACATATTTTGTGTGATTTAATGAAAGACTTACAGTGTGTGGTCAATGATTCTATAACAAAGAAATTATACAAATCAAAAGCTCTTGTTTACTTAGCTTTAACCTAACCTATGCAACTGGTTTATTACTGAATAATTTAAAAGCTTTTCTCGCATGTACAGTAGTAACTCGCCATCTGCATGCCATAAGCTGTTAGATAGGATATGCTTTTTTTTTTCATGCATTTAAAAAAATATTAATACACATTACAACTAGTATTGCCATTGCTTCAAAATTTACATTGTTATTTGTACTTTATATTCTTTGATGCCCTAATGCCCTCAACTAAGTGACTCGTGGAAAATGCTCATTAACCCCTTCACTACAGGGCTGCCACACCAGGGATTAAGTTGTGGGCTGGACACCCTTGATATTAACGCCTGGAACTAATCTAACTAGATTGCTTTCCATTGCTTTTGAAACAGGAAATTAGGAACAAAAATCACCCTATAAGGTTAATGGGATAATGATTTGTAAAATTACACCACCTGATTGCATGTTCCTCTCTCCATCCTCTTGAATCAGCCATGTCTTAGTGAGTTCTTTACATGAGGCACTGAGTTACTGGCTCAAACTTACACTGAGGTGCAAAGAATCACTTGTCTATTTATGCTTCTTTTTTCTAGGATCTTCATTTCCCTAAATCTTTTGAAGACTTGAGAGAGCTTGTCCGTGTATCCACTGCTTACAAACAGGATCACTGGTATTATGTTCTTCTATTGTTCTCATCAGCTTACATCTATAAGCAGACGTTTGCTATTCCTGGTTCTGCATTGTTGGTATGTAACTTGTGTGTATTACTGTACTACTGTATTCTCAATAAAATGTCAACAACATTGGTATCAGTACTGTATATATAAATTTCTACAGTAAGGTATTGATTAAAATAAGTTTCACACTATAGGTAAATAAAGTACATGAATTTATACTTTATTGAATAAAAACTTTGAATTTATAATGAAAAAAAATCATCAAAAATTTGTCTTCAGAATTTTACTGTTAATTGTTTTATGTCCTATGAAGACCTGTGACACTTACCACTACCAAGCATCTCACCAGAACAGTAGAGTCTGATGGACAATTGACAGTGTATTACTGAATATATTGTAACCTGGCCACACAAATAAAATCTACATGGAATTCCTATAAATCCAGTGGTTGTCTAAGGAACCAATGAGGTTATTCTGTCATTCAATCTGACTACACATAAGAACTCGCTCCAGCTGTCATGACCTTCCAGCAGTAACTTGATGGATAAATGTATTTCCTGTACTTTTCAATTTTGTCCATTTTTATTACACATTTCATGATACTGTATTGTAAAAAAAATTTTCTTTACTTGGTGGGAATGGACAGAAAACAATGGTGATAATGATGAATGTAAGATGGTTCATGTTCAGATACCAGCTTCACCAACTTTGTGCCATTTTACCTTTAATTCTGCAAGTTATAATTCATATTTTGCTTTGCTTGTAACTTTGTTTGAACATATGGCATGCAGGCAATTAACCAAACCAGCATATTTTGTTAGTGTTTGGGGTCTTCGTTTCTTCCCCAAAGCCATGACATGGGATTTCTTACATCATTACTGTATAATACATTGTTTTCTAGGCCTGGGTTGTGTCCTTTGCAGAACCTCTTTGGTGGGGCGCTGTTAGGATGCTGGCCTTTAGGATTTCCACTTTGCTGTGTCTTAACTGCTATTGGTGCGAGCAACTGCTTCCTTCTCTCACGCCTTGTGGGACGAGCAATTATTCAACAGAAGTTTGCTAATAGAATCCAGTGGCTTCAGGAAAAGGTGATGTTTGTAAAGTCTACAAACATTTCTTGTATTATCACAATTGCCTCTGTAGCTCAATGATGGTTCAATTTCAGGTCAGTGGAGAACAGGATCCCCTTGTTGTACACCGGTTCCTATACTAGCCACAAAAAATGGACTGAATTCACTGCCTGACTCATGAGTTGGTCACACAGTAGATTATTCCTCCCCTAAGACCAGTTTAAACAATTAACTCTTCAGTGCAATCAATTTCAACCATAGTTCTCTTGGTAGTGATGTCTGAAAAGTCAGCTCTTTTCTTTTATCACATGTAAGATAGTTACACAGGTGATTTGTGACAGATTGGCAAACTAGTTCTTTGTTTCGGCAATAAGACGAGACTTAACAAATACAGTCCACTCTTTTTGTTTCTCACATCAATTACATTTAGTGAGTTTCTGCTGGATTTTAATTATTTCTTCTAATACTTTTCTGTGTTTTGTTGCAGCTGCTGGAAAATGAGCATCAACTGTTCCTCTTTTTGGTCAGCTTAAGAGTGTTTCCAATGACACCTAACTGGTTCCTTAATATCACAGCCCCCTATGTTGATGTGCCACTACCCATGTTCTTTCTCTCTGTCTTATTTGGTAAGTATTTGATTTGTTGAAGGGGAAATGTTATACGATATAGTATACTGTACAGTCCTCCGAATATTAGATGTGACATTTATGATGTACAGCAGATTATGTGGTCTGAGTTGATTTTGTTCAACTTTCATACAAAGGTACAGTAACTCTTTTACATGCTGATAAAGGATCTGGTTTCATTTTTTTTAATAATGTTAATTAATGACCCTTGCAATAAAAAACACCTTTAGAATATTTAAAACTTCAATTACTGTGCCCGTATGTTTTAAGTCTCCCTATACTGTATATATATTTTCTCAAGAAAATAAACTAACTTTGCCATTTAAGCACCTTTTTTTTCCACTCTCCAGAAAAAAAAAAAACCCTGTAAATTGCCCTGACTAATACCTTAGTGTTTTGGCAGATGAGGTCACGATGTAGATTTTGTCCTAGGCATACCAAAGGGGTGGGTGGGGGTAAGATCCTCAGCCCTTTGGCTAATAAATGATTTCAAATAAACCATTTTTAACAATTATAAAAAAATAACGATAAATAATATAATCAAACATTATAAATGAGAGCCTATTCCTGCCAGAAAAAAAAAGGACTGTAGTCTTTGTACTTTAAATAATATTAATTGTGTTGTTTTGTTCCAGGATTGATCCCTTACAACCTCCTGTGTGTTCAAGCTGGAGAGGTGTTATCGGACATTCATTCAATGGATGATATTTTCACCCCCAAACGGCTGCTCGCTCTTATAACTTTGGCTTCAGTAATGTTAACACTCTCGCATTTTGCTCAAAAACGTAAAACAAAACATAGTGAATAATTGACTGCAAAGTATTTTTCATATATGGATGTAACTGTTCTTTGTCAGTATTTTCTCAAAATGTTGCACAGTGATCAATATATTTTTACTGGGGTTTCAAGCTGTTTATTTTGTAGGTGTGGACAGTACTGTATAGAAAAGGGTACAGTACAGTACAGTACAGTATGTATTATTTTGGTAGAGATCAGCCTGAGCTAACTTTGTCATTGTACCATGGACATGATTATAATGTTAACCATATTGTGTTGCTAAGGAGGACAATGTTTATATAATAATAAATAATATTAACAAAATGGTTATTTAAACTTTTAAATGTTTTAATATTTGTATTTTGAAGTTTTCCATCAATAATGAAACAGTTTATATTAATACAGAGAAACTTCACTAATTTGAATTTCAAATAAATTTACAGTTCAAAGATCCCAAAAACAACAACCTGATGTGGACAAGGGTTTGGGAGTGACTTACACAGAATATGGGTACCCAGCAACCATACTGTACTGTAGCAGAGGGATGTGTTGGACATATTTGCTTTATTTTTAATTCTTTTGAAATTAGTAATCAAAAGGATTCTTTTGGGAAGGGATCATTACTATACACAATCAGATGTTTGTTGGCCCACTGAACCTGGCACAACCGTGCTACAGTCGGTGTTAGGACTCAAAACAAACGTCCATAATCTGGAGATGGAGTTTATGAGTTGAACCGTAGATAGCGGTACAGTACAGTGGTCCCTCGGTTAACGAACACAATCCGTTCCAGCAGGCTGTTCGTTAACCGAAACCATTGTTTCAATGGGTTTTTGGGTAATTGGTTCCAGCTCACTGAAAATTGCCTAAATTCAACAAAAATGGTAGAAAAGTTAACTTACTTTGAGGTGTGTATGTAGAAGGCTCCTGGATGATGATGATGGGAATTAGAATGGGAGTGGAGGAGAAGGAAGAAGAGAAGGCATTGGGGTGGAAGAGAAGTCACCCCATGGCACCATTTCACCCATAAAATTTTAGTTCTCTTGGTGTATTTCAAGATTATTTTCTTTAAATCAACACTGCACTGCATTATATATTGTCAATATGTAAAATATATTTTAAAATGACCAATAATTTGCTTGGAAACACAAAAAAGCGTTTAGTTGAAGAGTCTCTCAAGCAAGATGTTACCTCCACTGAAAGCAGAGAGAGACTGACGCCTGTCTGGTGTGTTAACAGGCTGGATGTCGCGCAATAAACTAGTTACTTTACCTTCAATTATGTTCAATAATTGTTAAAATGACTAAAAAATTGAATATTAAACTTTTAAAATTATTGAATAGTATAAACTTCTTGATATTTACTAAAATAGTAAGGAATTTAAGCCCTAGAACCGATTAATGTATTGGCGGACTAATACTAAAGCTGGTTGACCGGCCAGTGCAAGCAAAAACATGTTGAGGTCGGTTCGAAAGAAATTCGTTAACCGAATTTAAGAATCTTATGGGAGGCAGTTCGTTAACCGAGGGACCACTGTATATAATGATATAAGGGTTGAAACTGCTTCAATTCAGGAAGGTAGAGGACTTTTATGGCCAACTATACAGTTGTCCACTTTCACCTGTATAGTTAGCATTGCCACCCCTCTCTCTTCATGATATGTGAACCCAGAGTATCGAAGCATATTCCGAAGCACTCACGAGTGAAGGGTAGAATCTAACACTGGCTGCAGCAGATATGAAGAAAGACCACCACATATGCCTTCAAGAAATATCAGAAAAAATTATATGGCTAAAGGAGCTGAACATGCAATTGTCACATCATAATACCAAAAACCATTCCTTACTTGGAATCAGGTGAAGAACATGATGCCAACACAACACATCATCAGCACCTCTGGACAATGGAGACGTGTTTATGTCCAAACATTTGCCAAACCCATGCCAAATCAACTTCAATTGGCATTAAAATCAAAAGGAAACATGTTACAGTATATCAAAAAGTAAGAAATTAAATGTTTGAAAGTGCTTTTTGTGTTTTATTTATATTGAATTTGGTGTTTTTTGAAAAGTCATGTAAAAAGGTCACAGGGCTCCATACTTTTTGTAGACACTGAACCTGTCAAAGAATATGCCTGAAACTTTTGCAACACTAAAACTAAGATTAACAAACAGTATACAGTGTATAGTCTGGATTTATGCGGTTTTGTTTACGTGTTTGGTCATTTACGCGGTGCCTTGCCAGAATTAAATGTTTTAATTACGCGGTAAATTTCATCATTTACACGGGAAGCGGCGTGGGCAGGGTGCGCACAAGGTCGCCCAGTCATCAAAACATTACCGAGTTCTTTACCCACCACAGCCGGCCCAAGTCAGTGATAGTGAGGATATGGACTTTGAGGGGGTTTGACAGAGGCCCTGCAAGCCTCTGTGGTGAATAGTGATACAATTGATTCAAGTGAGGACCAATAATCTGCCCTCTGCATCGGAACCAACCCCCCTTCCCCGTGTGCCCAGCCAACTTCTCTACCAACGTAGGTGTTAAAAAACCTAATATTATTGATATTTCTCTGAAATATTAATTGTGTGTGCATGCCATCATAAAATTAAGATGTTATTTTTACTACAACGTAGGTATTGTCGGAAAAAGTGGAGATTGGGAGTCAGCCCAGTCTCTATTTCAATTAATCCCATATGTTGTTATTTCGTTTACGCGTTTCTCGTTTTACGCGGATCTCCATGGGTTCAATTGACCGCGTAAGTGCAGACTATACTGTAATCAAAACTAAGGAATGGTTCCAATTTTATAAAAACTTATTCTGCATTTATCTGAAATGACTACCATAATCAAGTGCTAACTCGTTTTAGTGGGTATTTTATCAATCCCTTCTAATTAACTGACAAATTTCCCAACTTGAGTATTTTTACAATACTGTGGAGTATTTTCTTGTAAAATCCTCTCGAGATCAAATAAATATCTCAAATGGCCAGAGAAGCATTTGTCTTGCTTACATGACTTGAGAACAAGATGGAGAATACAAGGTAAACTGCCTTTACTAGACAAGGACAAAGTTATATTCAAATTAAATATTCTTAATAGTACTTTACTTTACTTTACTTGACTAGCCAGCATGCAATGATACCAAGCTATAAACCTTTTAGGTAGCTTAGTATAGTAATTCTAAGTATATGTATTATTACATAATAGGAAGGTGATTATTGCACACATTGTACATTGTGTGTTACACAAGTGATCTCCATTACAGAGCATCTAGTTTAAATATGCAGATACTGTAGAGTAAAGAGCAAGAGTTATCATAATAAGTCAATGACATCCTAACACAAGCTATTTAACCATGCAGAGACATACAGTATACACCACCTGAGCTAGACAATCAGGTTTTTGGCCTTACCAAATTTTTCAAGATTAAAGAGGGGACTCTTTAAGCCTGGTACAGTATACTGTACATGGGAAACTTTCCAGCATGAGAAAACATTCAGGGAATGACCATGTTTCCCACAATTAAATGTGATTATATTATATTGTAGTGCTAGAACTAGATTTCACAATAAATTATATGAAAACTATTTACAGATAAAAAAATTATTATAATAAAACTTTTATAATGAACAAATGTATACAATGTGCTTGTGAAAGTGAAAAGTTAAATGAATTCTAACTGTGACAATGATGGATGTGTGGTGCAAGAAAGCCTTTTTTTTTACCAACCACTTGTCATGTTTCATAAAATGTATAAACACTAGAAAATATATATAATTTATGAGGTATTAAGCTGTGTTTAATATTCATATTATTTTCCTTAATCATTCATAATAAAAAATACTCCGACTAACAGTCACTACGTACTTCAAGTGACCACTACTTCAGTTTTCTTCACTACTGTACATTTAATCAACACCACTCCGAATCAAATTTTGTCAACTTCGATACCTACTCAAGATCTACATTTACAAATTACACATTAAAAGAAATTTCAACTCTCATCTCAATCAACGGTTTTTACAAGTACCCCCAGGGTGGTCCAATTAAAGTGAACCAATTTTAAGTTGGTAACATGGGTCTGGGTTTGAGTGGGAAGAGGAAGAGGGGTGGCAGTTGGTGGCGCATGGCCTTGGATTCAATGCACAATGGCTCGTGGGCCGATGTAGCAGCATGTGTTTGCAGTGGAACAGTTTGTACAAACCAGCTCCATAGTTGAAGCTCAACGGGCATTTAGGCAGCTGGGGACCAGCGCCATCATGCAAGACAATTTGTGTGTGGGTAAATCCGTGGAGTGTAAGTGGATCAGTTCAGAATAAACCACACCAACGTTCAAAAACAGCCAGAACACCTGAAAATGTGGAGCATGTGAGAGCTGCCTTAGTGAAGAGCCTGCGCCATTCAGTGCGGAGACACGCCCGTATGCTGCAATTGTCTCAAGGTAGCCTGTCGAGAATTTTGCATCTTGACCTCCAATTCCACCCATACAAAATTCAGTTAGTGCAAGAACTGAGCCAACATGACAAAAAAATCCAATTGCAGTGTTGTCAGGATTTAATGGACAGCAAAATCTAAATTTTAACTCATCCATTTCACGAATTTTTATTTCATTTTCAACATGGTTTACTTTAATTGGTCCACCCTGTATTTTCAAGAACCTGACATGAAATACAACACATGTATACGTACTGTGCAGTACAGGCAGCCCTTGAGATATAGAAGAGTTCAGTCCTCAAAAGTTGTTCAGATTTCTTAACTTATTCTTACGTAGATTTCAATTACTGTAAATAATTGGAGATGTGTTCCCTCGGGCAACCCCCACACACACACAAAAAATATATATATATTAAAAAATATATATATTGACAATATATACTAAAAACACACCAAAGACTCTTTAAATCCACAATTAAAAATAACACCAAACATTATGGACATTACTACTGTACTTACATTGAAAAACAATATTTGTTAAAACTACTGTATAGGAAGTCCTCGTTCATTGTAAAGGTAAAGAGCTTGAAAACCCTTGTGATGTGTGAAATTAATACCGATGTGTGAAAAAAGTTTTCCCATAAGAAACAATATACAGGTAAAGGTGGGATCTATTTCTGGCTGTGAATTTTGAGGGTCCATGTACTGAATTTTTATACAGAAACACTTAAATATATAGATAGAAAACATGAAATACAATATAAAATACAATTAACAGTTTTGTTCATGTGGGTCGTCTCTGGCATCTACAAGGATTATCAACCTGCCGCTGCCACCACCAAGAATAGTGTACGTTGTGGTAATGAGCGACTCAATGAGAGCTCTCCCTCACAAGGCTGCCCATCACCTTGTGGTAATGAGCAACTCAATGAGAGCTCTCCCTCACAAGGCCGCCCATCACCTTGTGGTAATGAGCAACTCAATGAGAGCTCTCCCTCACAAGGCCGCCCATCACCTTGTGGTAATGAGCAACTCAATGAGAGCTCTCCCTCACAAGGCCGCCCATCACCTTGTGGTAATGTGACTCACCTTGTGGTAAGCGACTCAATGAGAGCTCTCCCTCACCGCCCATCACCTTGTGGTAATGAGCAACTCAATGAGAGCTCTCCCTCACAAGGCCGCCCATCACCTTGTGGTAATGAGCGACTCAATGAGAGCTCTCCCTCACAAGGCCGCCCATCACCTTGTGGTAATGAGCAACTCAATGAGAGCTCTCCCTCACAAGGCCGCCCATCACCTATAAGGTTCTATGAGATGCTTATCTCCTGAAAGTATATAATATACAGGAATTTGCAATAACTAAGGACTATTTGTACTAGTAACGAGGCCAAACTACCTGTACTAGTAACGAGGCCAAACTACCTGTAATAGTAACGAGGCCAAAGTACCTGCACTAGTAATGAGGCCAAACTACTGTACTGGTAATGAGACCAAACTACCTGTACTAGTAACGAGGCCAAACTACCTGTACTAGTAACGAGGCCAAAGTACCTGTATTAGTAACGAGGCCAATTTGTGAAAACAATCCAAAAAAGCTAAACAAAGAATTGCCTGAGTCTGTCCCCCTAATACTTAATAAAAAGTACAGTGAAATATTTGTAAGGTCATTAAATGTTAAACAGTTTGTTTTATTAGACCGTGAAAACAGTTTACTGTAGTGAAAACTGTTCTTACAGTACAAGCAATTGTAAAGTGTGGCTGTGCAGGTGCAGCACCAGCCATCCATCAGCCAAGATAGCTATTAATACTGTGTTATCTTAGTCTATACAGTAAATCCTCTGATTTACATAGTTATTTTTTATGTCATTTCACTTAACAACTGCATCATTTAAAATTTACGTCACCTTTTTAATTAAAAATTCATGTTCCGCTGTCACTACAGGTGCTTAGATCAGTGTCGCACAAAAACACAAAGCACCCACCATTATATAAATGGGAAAATAGAGGAGTCTAATTTATCTAATGTGGTATTTTCTAGGAACACATCCGTCATGTAAAAACTGTAGAGGGTTTAATGTGTTCTATTAAACACTGAAGGTTGGCAATACTTGTACATTTAGCCCCATTCTCTCTAACTACAGAAAATTCTGGAAGATTTTACCATTTATGCAAAGGTTTTCTTCCAGATATCCAAACTAGACTACAGTATGTGGATTATGTTAATGTGACTTTCTTTAACTTGAGCTTCCATACCTCAAGGAGTACCTGTAGTACACCTGGAGCACCTCCTAACTAATCATCTCTAATAGAATGGCTCTTTAAATGAGTAAAAGAATACTATCTGCTTTAATATAATATAATGTTTAATGAAACAATTATTTCCTTAATTTTTTCAGAATTTCAATTGAAGTTGTGCACCTTTTGTAGCTCAGCAAATAAAGAAACAATATACAGTACTGTACATACATAAGAAATGACACACTGTACCTTCACTTACTCACATCAATGCTCATATTACAGGATTTTCATCAAATATCTTTACTACTAATATAACATCAATTAAATTATTTTTTCTCTCAAACTACTAAAAACCATATAAAAATATATTGTTCACCAAGGATGACCCTAATATTCAGTCCCTTTACCTTATTACTAACCTACAGCCTAATATTTGTCTGCTAATGTAACCTATCTTATTCTGCTTCTTGATCATGTGTCTGAAACCCAGCATCTACAGTGTTCCTTTTTTTGGGAGTGGAACAAGAGGGGGAAAGAGATTCACACAAATTAGATGCAGACTTCTGAGAGGACGATGGAGGAGGGGTACGACGTGCAGGAGACATGCTGGGCTTGTCCGTCTGATTAACTAGAAGATGTGGTGGCATGGGTAGCTCCTCATCTGTGGGGAGGAGTCCAATAAGTTAAGGACTAATGTTTGTAGCATTCCAATATACTGAAAGGCTCTTACAATATGCATAAGTTACACATTTAGAAGTTTTAAAGGTAATGTTGGGTGTCATATGTTGTTGCAGCATCTAAATTCAGTGCTGAAGATTTTTTCTTTGTTCTTCAGCACCCAACCTGATGGATCAGGTTACAGTCCTGTAACCCCTCTATTACTGTACATCTGATCACAAATGAGATCTAGAATAGTGATAGGAAAAATTTGTTTGGATCAACATTAGCCTATTCCACTCCATGTATAAAACATTTTATGAATTAGGACTAAATGTTAGTGATGTACAGAAAGAAATACAGTACATTTTTAAATTAAGCAGAATTACAGTCATCTTAATATATCTTCTTGCAAGAGAAGGGAGCCAGTGGCTTGTTTAACCCACACCACCACCCTTTTGTTCATGTTGTGTTCTTCATAGGTCCAATGTTAGTGACATAGTACAGGAAAAAACAAGAGCACCCATAGAATGCTTATAACGTTTGGTAGGGTCACACTGGACAGCATCCTTCTCACATCCAACCCACGCAGGAAGTGAAACCAGGTCACAGTAGTACAAGACAAACACACTATCACTGCACCAAAAGTACAAAGGCTAATGCAAGCTTGTTTAGCATCAGATACAGCAGTATGGCTTCTATCACCTCTTCCGGCTTTCTACCCTAACTGAAGGGATCAGTATCAGAGAAGGAAGCTGCCAGGCACAGCCATAATGATTTGCTTCCTTACCATCTGTCCTTCCATACAGTGAACATAATACTGTACAATACTACTACCAGACAACCAATGAACTGATAGAAGCTGTCTATGATATATTCATGACAATAAGACAAGGAGAAGTTCACAAACACCTTCTGAATGATCAATAAGAGGAACTGAGGGTCGAATATCATAAGTGTACAAGGACTTCTGGCCTACTCTATAATTCAGGAACTCCAAAAAGATCTTGACTAATGTTATAGCTAGTAAACACTATATCATGCTCAAACAGGAAGCAACTAGAACAGATGTAGTTTACCAGATGATTCTGGAGAATCGGTGGGGGACATGCGGCATCCACGAGCCAGATACTGCTCCAACTTGCCACAGGAAGCCAGAATCAACCCAAGGTATGGTGGGGAAGGCTTCAGAGGTCTGTAAGTACAAGACAACTTTGAGTGGAATGTTATATTCTCCACAAGAACTTTAATATAAAAAAACTATGCACCTACAGTATACAGTACACCAACCTTTTTGTTAGTTCTGAATAATTTTACAGTTATGCTCAATACTGGAATTCACTACAGCAAAATCAGTACCTTCTCCAAGAACTAAAACCAGTGAGCAGTAATAATGTCTACCAGTAACACCCAGCACGCTAATACCAGTAGTCTACATGAGCCCAGTGCTGGGCATAGGCCTCCTGCATACGCTCTCACAATCTACTACAGTCCTACCTTGAGCCTTTTTTGTCCATTCTTCTAACAACCAAAAATCTTTCCCAGGTTCATAGATACACCTATTAACTCTTATCAATCAGTCTCTCTCCATTAACTTTCATTCCTGGTAGTGCTCAGAATCTTCCCCAAAACCCTACTGCCACTTCGCTATCACCAACTTTTGCACTTAAAATCCCCAATTACTCTCTCTCACACTAAAGCTCTTGAAATGACCTTATACTCTTCCAAACACTTCCACTTGTCATCATTCAACACAACCACCACAACAACTTTTACTCATATTATCTGACAAATTATTTTAATCCTCCCCTCTCCTTTGTTCAGCACCATACAATTCTACATTGAGGAATGAAAGGAAGAACTTACCTGGTGAGGTATTCTGGATGGTACTGACAGGCCACATAGTATGGGTGGTGATCGAGCTCCATGATCTCCATCCGTTCACCCTCCACATCCTGACCCACGAATTTTAGTCCTGCAGACTCAAAATCACAAGCCATCTTAGGATCCACCTCATACCTGTTGAGTGACAATGTATCATAGGAGAGGAGATCATGGCCAGTTAATCAATACTGTTTTATCTACAAAGTAGTAAACTTAAAAAAAAGAAATATATATATTTTTCTTTAAGAACAGAAAAGTTAAGACATAATTGTGGTAATAACAAATTCAATTGCAAGAGCTCAATTCTATACCATTTTTTAATCTTATTTCCACTGTAAAAGTCTCATCTCTGCAGCAACATTTGCTTCAAATAATGAGACATGACAGTAAAAGCCTCCTGGAGGAATTGAAATATAATGATTGTGGGTAGGGAGGCTGCCTGTTACTGAACTCCTAAATGTCCAGGCACAGTACTTAATATGTGGTCATGTTTATACATTTTGGAGAATTTGTCATATAACTTTTGTTAAATCTTGATGACAGCAAATTTAATAAATGCAATTAAGTCAGATGTTAATGAATGCATCTGTTATTATTATGTTATGGGTGCTTCACCTGCTGGGGGTATTAAGCAACATTCAATAAATCTAGGTTTCAAAAACAGAACTTTAAAATTTAAACAATACGACAAATGCTTATTAACGTACCTGTGTCGGTGACGCTCTTCAACATAATCTACGTTGCCATAAAGCTGTCGCAGCTTTGAGTCGTGGGTTTTAAATAAGGTTTGTCTTTTCCCTAGTCTCATGGTGCCTCCAAGCTGCCCAGGATTATGTTCTGGCATCTCAATGATAACGTGACGACTACCTTCGGGACATATCTCCTGGCTGTTAGCATCTGGCCATCCCAAAACGTTCCTGTGTGCAAATTTACTTTCTGGTCACTCTATCAAAATTTAATATAAATATAAATAGCATTGTATACTTTTTCTTTCACCAGTTTGGAATTTTTTTAACTAAACTTGTTCAATTAAGGTTTGTAAAGATTTTTTGATGGTTGACATATAAATTCAAGATTGATGGATAATGATGTAGTATTCCCAACCAACAATAATAATAATATAATTAACGGTTTCTTGAAAAAGTTCTGCAGCCTGAAAATATACATTGGACATAAATGTAGGAGTGACAGAGATGAACAGTTTACTTTGAGAAGAAAATTTAGTTTCTTGGAGAGGTAATAACAAGTTGTAACAATCATGGATGGTTAAGTATGTGTCCATAATACCCAGACACAAGTTATATATTCTTACCAGCTGCCATTTATGCTAATTTCCACCCTATCATCTCTTAATGCAACAATTAATAAATATTAATGAGTACAGTGGAGTTGTGGTAATTTTCAAAATACAAATTCACATGAATAAATTTGCAGGTAATGCTACACCTTTTTTCTCATTCTGTGGAGTGATTACTACAGATATGGGGATATTAGTACATTACTGTGCAACAACCTGCAGACTCCATCTATAGCCTCCTTGTCACGAAAAGGATGCCACAATTTCATTTAAATCAGTAACATCCTTCTTATGAAGGTTACTTAAAAGTAGTGCGACAACAGACAGTAGTCGAAGTAAAAAGATTACCTTGCAAACTCTATAACAGCAGCTTGTAAACCAAGACAAACTCCAAGGAATGGCTTCTTATTCATTCTGGCCCACTTACACACCGCCACCTTCCCTTCCACTCCCCGCTGACCAAATCCTCCGGGAACAATGATTCCACTGACAAAGAGAGAGAAATGACCAGATGTATATTACAGTTTTGTACATTAAATTTTCTGTTAATGATATTAACAACAAATGGATAATGTGTCTTCAAGATGCTAATATAATTAATTAAAGAGCATGTGGTTAAACATACATTACATAACAAACAGTAGAATATTCCTACAACTTTGATCCAGTTACCAAGTAATTTCAATAATAATCTCTATATGTGATGAGAATAGGAATAAAACAATCATCTGTAATACTTCATAAAAATAAGGTGAATTTTCACTAAGGTAAGGAAGCACTCAGGTTGAGAACTTTCAGCAAAATCCTCAGTATTGGGAGGAAGTGAGAAGTTCTTTCTATAATTTTTCTATATGTAAGATGACAATGCTAGAGATAATCCAACACTATTGTACTGTACATCTAATTCATCACAAAGTAAAGTTGGTAAGACTTCCTTACTGGCACTTGCAGACATTCTGCCATGACTCGTAATACTTAACAGCCCGAGTATTCTTGGCCTCTTCTTCTAGATCTTCGGCTTCCATGCATTTTAAGTCCAGTTTACGGTTGCAAGCGAGAGCAGCATGTTGCAAAGCTTTGATTACCGATGCATAAGAGTCTTCAAGCTGTGTGTACTTGCCCACAAGAGCAATAGTAACAGTGTTTCGCAGATGCTCATGCCTATGGGAATTAGTAAAACAGTGAAAAACAGTAATCCATGATAGTCATGTTAAAGAAACCAAAATGTTCACTTCACCTAGGGAAAAAAATGAAGTTCTCTCAATTTCTAACACTTATTGTTTGGAAGGACATGTTATTTCATGTTAGAAAACTAACGGCATTCTGTATACACCAAAGAAATTTATTTCACACAGAAGAGGTCACGCTCTTAATCTATAACACTCACTTGATAGAAAGGTCACGCCACTTCTTCATGAAATTTCTCGGTCGGTGAGTATCGAGGTTTAAACTCAAGCGATCACTAAGAAGGTGCGACACCTGCTGTTCTTCTAACATAAGTGGGACTTCATAGATGCTTTGAGCATCATGCAAACAAATTACCTGGAAAATTACACAACTTAATGCAAATTTCCTTTCAAATTGTAAACAATATTCTTATTACAAGATGTATTCACTGGGAAGTCATTTTGTCCTCAAAAACTAGATTCAACAAAATCATTAGTTTCTGATTACTGTTTATGGAACAAAATTATTTCCTTACATGGATATAGAACTTCCTATTCATTATAATTTGTGAAGTAATGCATCCATTCTCTTGCCTGCAGAAAGGTTTACTTACCTCACCCAACATCAGATACAGTACTGTAGGTTTTGTAAGTTTACTTGGTGGAATAGCATCTCAAGGACTACTGTACTGTCCTGTACTGTACTTACCAACATGACAAATATCCAATGATAACCTCATGAAAACACTTGTCACATGAAGTATCAACTTATCAGTATTAAATATGAATTCATCCACTGTACTACACCTCTCCGCTATTCGTGAAATATGGTAAACCGTATCAAATACTGTACTGTAAACACATCTCAATACTAGATATTCCCAATAATAGACATCTTCCTGTACGGTAGAATTAGTGGACTCCCCCAGCAGGATCTGGTATTGGGAACTTTGTCCACCAAATAATCACTTGGTGCATTCTGGAACTTGCTAGACAGAGTGTGGCAAGTGACAGTGTTTACAGGATGAAGCTGAACATAGCCTTGGTTAATGTTAAACTGTTTATGTAACAAATCAATATTTCCTTAAGGTACATTTTACAGCCACAAAGCCATTAATATATTCTGCAAATTACTATTTTTAATGCATTCAAACAGCAGGGGCATGAAACTGTTATATCTTATGAAAGATTTGTTCCAATTTTCTTTTCCCATATTCATTTTGATAACAATGGATGTCATACTTTTTTGTATAAAATTTTCTCTTTTCCAAAAGTTTTGCTGCCAACTGGGGCAGACAGCCATTACTACAAATACTTTAATAAGTTAATGTGGTAGACAATATCTGTCATAAATACATTACTGAACACTTACATAAAGCAACTTGTTGACCTTGTGGTCTATACCTGCTCTGGTGATACATGACAGAAGTTTGATATCTTGTGTTTAACTGACTGGTCGATGGGCATCTCTGAACGACACACAATGAAGTCCGGCGATAATCCTAGTCCACGTAGTTCACGTACACTGGCCTGAGTAGGTTTAGTCTTGTGTTCACCAGTGGATGATGGCTGAGGCACCAGAGACACATGGACAACACAGAAATTTTCTCGCTGTGGAAAATATTCAAAGGTCTTTAAGCTTTCTGAATGAGAGAATTAATGAATAATGAGTAGAAATTTTTAAGATAGAGAACTGAAATTTAGTTTGAGCATGCACGCACTACTCCTTGCACTGTCACTATGTTGAAATGAACTGTAGTTTGAGCTTTTCCCCATCTAGTTATTATATGTCTTATTTGTGTCACTCATGTTACTTGTATATTATTTGTAATTCGTAACCCATTCCCCAAATATGTAACTGTATATTTTCAGCCTTCTGGCTGCCAAGCTCTTTCAATAAACCGTTAATTATTATTATTACACACAAAGTGACAGAAACATAAAATTTGGGGGCTTGGCCACATAGGGGCCACCCCTCACTCTCAAATGTGGAGTCCCTTTATAAAATGCAGTGCAGGGCTGTGTTGTTCTACACAGCAACACATCAGCTGATCTAAAACTAAGTCATTAGGCAGTTATGAACACCCTTGAAAAATAATAAAACCTCTACCTCTTATACATAGCCTTAGTACTCATGGCAACAGCCAGCTGCTGAACAAAGTGCTTAAAAGGACAAGGAGTTGGATTTTATTTGTAAAAACGGGCAGAGGCGAGTCGAGAGGTGACACATGTGTCTGATCTGATGGTTTGTAACCGAGGGTCATCAAGACAACCCATCAGTATTTTAGTATAAGTTAATACCACTAAGCCCCATTTTCAAGGCAAGCTGTACACATCACAGGAAACCATTGGAATAAAACAGCCCCTAATTGTGGGCCACTTCCAGTCCTCTGCTACCCCACAGCCAACACTCAACAAACAAACAAGTATTGTCTGGAGACAAATTAGCTTGTTGATTTTATAAAATAATATAAAATATAATAAACAAGGTGTGACTAAACTATGACTTGGACATAAAAGCTACTATATAAATTTGTCAATACAGGACCGTACCTTACAAGGTTCAGCATAAGTTCTTCAGCACTTACACACAAGCTAAATGTATTAATTATTAAACTAATCTGAGACCTTGTTATACCAAGCATTGTTAACATCCATATCAATATGTTTGAATTACAGTACTAAGTTCACAACTCCTGGGAAGAGAACATGGACACAAGTTACATTCCTATGTCCCCTTCCAAGGATGGAGGAGAGTGGGCAAATATATGTACTGTACTGTATACTGAAACCATATGACAGTTTATTTACCTTCACTCTAAACTGAAACTGCCTGAAGGCCTCTACGAACGGCATGCCCTCAATATCTCCGATGGTGCCTCCCAATTCTATGATGCACACTTCTGGGTCTGCCAAGTCTCCATCAACAGGACGCTGTGCCACTGATTCCACCCACTCTTGAATGGCATCAGTGATGTGAGGCACAACCTAAAAGGATCAACATGGCATTTTATAAGTTGTTATAAACACATTTAGGTTTTTTTTTCGTGATGCTACCTTCTTTTTTCCAACCAAATTGGTCATTAACAAAAGCTAAAACCAGGCCCTGCAGATTTACACTTCCTGGTTACCCGGAATAGGGGCCAAATAGGTGATTTTTCATGACCATTGCCGAGCTTTTGCCCAGCAGACAAGTTGGGCAGGTGATGCATGACTCCCAACTTCCTGTTCTGTAAATGTTTAACCAGTGAGGTCCATCAACCAGCAAGGTGATGGGAGTGGGCTGTGTATGTGTGGGCTTGACCCGACGCCATATTTTGACATCACAGTCGAGCTGATCCCTGACCTACTAAGAAAGTCCATTTTACACACCTGTACAGTTTTTCCAAGATAATCTCCCTGTCTCTCCTTGTTGATGACAGACTGGTAAATCTTGCCAGTGGTAATGTTGTTGTCCCGGTGTAAAGTAACATCCAGGAATCTCTCATAGTTGCCCAGGTCAAGATCCACTTCTCCTCCATCATCCAACACAAACACTTCACCTGCACATAAATTAACATACTATATAATATCATACTATATAATAAAAGCTTCACACACACACACACCAAGGCTACAGCTTTCAGTACAATATATCTAGACAATCTTTCTTCTCAAACCATAACATTATGTAAAATATAAAGTAACAGTTGAATTGTGTGTAAAACATTGCCCTTTAATACAGCGTATAGTACTGCACTGTACATACTGTTTTTTACTTAAAGGTTTTAAATTTTTCTGCACAAACCAATATTTTATTAACCTGAAATGATCTTTCACTAATCACAGTTAAAGAAGTCATATGTACAGGTAATGTCTATGTAAGAGTTAAGGTACAAATGTCAACATATGGGGGAACCTGCCCAATGCATCACTTTTTAAATACTGAACAAGATGACATCACTGTGGAATGCTGCATACATCTCCAAATATTCCATTATTTTACAAACCCCCAAAATATTTCAAAGTTCAGTTACAGTAAAGAAGAGGCAGCAAGTATAAGTGCAAATTTCATATCATAACTAATGTTTACATATAAAAAAAATAAAATAAGGAAGGTATGAGGAAGATGGCAGGATCTCCAACCCAAAAACTAGTAAACTCTGTAGTTACACTAATATTCTCTAAATGCAGTAATATGAAAAAATACCATGCTCATATGGGGAGAAGGTTCCAGCATCAATGTTAATGTAAGGGTCAATTTTGATGGAGGTCACTCGTAAGCCACAGTGCTTCAGGATGGTACCAACGCTGGATGCAATGACACCCTTCCCGATGCCGGATATCACTCCTCCCGTCACCAAGATGTACTTCATGTTGAAAATATTACTCTAAAAAAAAAAATTATATATATAATTTATACTGTATATACTTATATACTGTATATACTTATATACAGTATATATATATATATATATATATATATATATATATATATATATATATATATATATATATATATATATATATATATATATATATATATATATATATATATATATATATATATATATATATATATATACTGTATATACTGCAAGACATAATTCATAAGACTAACCATAGATAATATATACTGTAGAGTACAGTACAATGACTGTCCATTAGTGTGGATACTGTATACTAAGCCTTTTATACACAAGGAGGCAACACTGTACTGTACTTGGCCATCTTCACTTCCCCAACTTGATGGAATGGGAGTGCCAAGGGATGAAAGTATCGACACTTAGGACAGATGACTAGTGTTGTAGCCACACTCTTACACCACACTACAGTATATGTATGCACAATTAAAAGAAAATTAGTCTGTTGAGAATAGCATAGACAGAGTAATGCAGAGTCATTACTGAGAACTTTTAGCAAAAATTGAGGATTGATCCTGAAATCCTACTTTCTAATTGATTATTATGCCAGGCAGTTGTCCTGCACCTCCTCCCCCCTCCCCCCACACATTAATACATTTCATTTATGGTTAACTTGAAGCACAATAAGATGTCATAACACACTTCATAATACTGTACAGTACTGTATGTCCTTCCTGGTTACTATACAGAGCAGTACAGTACTGTATATCTAACTGTTACAAGTTCTTATAATACTGCATTCATTAAATCACCATTTACTGTACAATGAAGTATTATCACACATCATTTATGAGTTTAAGAAATCTTTGGTTACACATCTCTACTAAGTGATTTAGTTATACATAGTATTCTTTTCCTACATTGGTTAGTCCTAAACACATTCTCCCCACCCAGCCTCAGCACCAAAGATGAGATATCCCCCTCCCTCCACACCCCCAGCCTGAGTCCCTTCCAGTTTTAAAACCCAAGTGAACCCCTACATCAGCCTTCATCATTAAAGTTGTTATTATTCAAACCTAAAACATTATATAATCAAACTCAATAAACAATTCACCAGGAACCAATATAAAGAAATGTGTTTTGCCAACAAAAAGTTGCTGCTCACATACTGCAGTGCTCAGTGCAGGAGTACAACACATACCAAACAGGTTCTCATCCCCTCAGGATACAGATGTGGGTAACTGACCTTTATTTTTAACTCTCTCATGCATAAAAGAACATTTCGCACACAACTGGATTTTGGTTTCTCATAACAGATTATCTTCAGTAATCTTAACAGTTTTATTCATGTTATAAATTTGTTTCCCAAGTTGCTAAGATTTATCTCGTTATGAGTAACGTGCAGGTAAAAGATATCTTTGCTCTTACTAATAACTGTTATGGCAACTCAGGACATAACCCATACCCTCAAGGCCACCTAACACAAGGGTGTTGGGGGAAGTGGCCAGACTCAAGGCTACATTTTATGACAATGTACAGTCACTCATAAAAGAAATGGACCCCTGGGCGAGAGCTCTTGTGATTGGTAACAGTTCAGTTCTAGTAACAGTGTACCTGACATAAGGGGTGTGGTGTGTGTGTGGGGGGGGGGATCACTGCCTTCTGCATGAACCACTGCCTCGGGTCATGTCTTGTTTCATGAACAACTAAACAAGGTGAATACAATACCATAATTATGTTAACTTTACGTTTTCTGATAATTTCGGGCCTATCAACACCTCCCTTAGCCCCATGTGCTCGCTGTTGGAGTCTTCCTTTAAGTTTGTTCATTCTGCAATAAATATCAAACAAATATTTAGCTATTTTCCGACATATTTGTCTGTATACGACCACGCAGGTTTATAATGCGACTGAACTTACATGAATAACATACAGGGTATCTTTACCTCACGATGTTTGAAACCATATTGCCCCAATGGACATTCCTGCCCTCCCCAACGACAAGAAGAGGCCTCTTCTCGACACAATCATTCAAACCATGGTCGAATAAATATATGAAAAAAAAAAAAATTTCCAGAATAAGTTTAGTTTGGATATAAAGTGTAGGTATAATGAGATGAATAAGTTTAATTTATTGAAGATATTAGGGTCTTAGAATATAATGAGCAAAGGTAACATAATTATGGTGTTGTATTCACCTCGTATTAGTTGTTCAAGAAACGAGAAGACATGACCCGAGGCAGTGATTCACCTCCTCCACACCCCTACATCAGATACACTGTTACCAGAACTCAACTGCTTCCAGTTACAAGACCTCTCACCCAGGGGACGTTTCTATTGTGAGTGACTGTACAGTACACACCTAATTGTGATCATGGCCTTGCAATGTATTAGCTACACATGTAAAGCTACAGTATGTAAAATATATTAGCAGCTCTCATGCCAAGGTGTCTATTCAAATTAAGTCATATCAAGATAATGTATATCCAGCTGGGTCCCAGGCTTGGCATATAGTGTACAGTATTCCTTCACAAGTAATTATCAAAATCAAACCATCAACAAACTTCTTGCAGATTCACATGAAAAAGGATATCTCTCAACAACCCTATTTTCCAACACAATCATTACAATGTCTTGCACTGACACACACACACATGGCAGACAGGTACACATGGCTGACACATGGCAAGGTTACAAGGCAATTTACACAAACTAAAATAGGTGCTACTATAGTATGCGGTCTACCGAGAGATTTACGCTGTAGCATCTATTAACCCAACCTAACCTAATATATCTTAACCTAGGTTAAGTTAGGTTAGGTTAACGGATGCTACAGTGTAAATATCCTAGTAGACATAACTCCAGCTCATTAGACCACATACTATAGTAGCACCCTAAAATATAAGACAATTACTGTGGTCAAAAGAACTGGCCTACACCTTCCCTTCTTTGACTGTTTATAGAGCAAATTGTTACTCTGAACACATCCAGAGGGCCTTCCACTACCACAAAATAAGAAATTATTTAAAGCTGTGCTCTACCACTCTGTCAGAAACTTTAATCAGAAGTATATTCAATTTGATTCAAAGTAACTGAATGATTAAAGTATATGGAGTGTTTGTATAGCCAGGTATCCCTAATAAAAAACAGTTTGGATTGAAAGAAAAATTGTTTTAGCTGACCATTCACCCAAGCTGCCCTTCAAGACGAATTTACTATACCAAAATATTAGTTAGGAAAGGTTGTAAAATCTTACATTAAATAGCTGGGGGAACTTATGTGGCTATGTAAGCTCTGCCTGAAGTACAGCAGTAACAGTTGGCCTGCTCTCCCCCACACACTATACTGTACAATATTAAAAATGAAACGCCAAAATAAAATGCCAATTCAAGTGAATTAAGAAATATTTAGTATTACAGTACAGTATACAACATTGTACTGCACTTTATGAAATGCACAACTAATGATAAAGTAGAATGATTTTCTTTGGTATCATGGTATTTTACTTTTGGTTATCCAGGGAATATTAGGAATTTAACTATTGGAATCAGCAGTTAGACATTTCTAAAACTTGTGAGGGAAAAGTCAGAAGGAAAGTGTATTAGAAGTGTCTAAACTATTGATTCCACTAATTAAATTCCTAATATTCCCTGGATGGCCAAAAGTAAACATTACCTATTCTTTAATGATTTATTACCTATAAAATAACATAAATTAAGCATAGGAACTTAGTCTGGAGGCCACGGGACCATCACTACCATACAGGAGAGGAAGAACCTGCCGGGTAGTTCCACTGTACAGTATATCAGTGGTTCTTTCTTGCTAGTTGTTTTCTTTAGTTGTTGTTTAGTCTTTAATTAAATAAGACACACTGTACAGTACTGTAGTTTGTTTTATCAATGTAACCAAGAGTAATGGTAAGGAGTCCAAACGGCCACTTGCGGCCCTGTCACTTAACTCACTCGGTTTTCCCTGTTTCCTAAATGAGTCTGTAATCTACACATTAAAACACATATATACAAGATATTCCCCAATGGTAAAATAAGACAATGTGGTTGGTGTGACTCACATGGTCAACCTGTGTGTGTCTGACCTGTACCCCATGACACACACGATGGCACACCTCCCAGGATGTATACCTACCGGACAGTTAAATAAAGATGATGTAGTGTAGGAGGACCTGGAGGCGTGGCTGGGGAGCTATGAGAGTACTGGACACAGGTGGAGACGCTGGGCCACACAGCACATGCGCCGCCCCCGCACTAACGCACCTCACCTCACACCCACCTGACATAACTATTGACAAGTTCATTATATCTGTTAAAACAATCAATTTAAGTCATTTTTAATTAAAATTATTTGAATATAATTAAGTTTTATATGCCATATGTTGTATCTGATGTAAAGTTGTGTTGTTATATTGTGGTCGGCGGAACAGATTATGGAGGTAGTGTTTTAATATTAAACGATAACAATGACATATTATTATATTTAGAAAGTAAAAAAAACTATTAAACTCCTGTCATTTTGGATGTTTTATTACTAATTGTCTCAAAGTTTAAAAAAATAAATATGGAAATCATGAAACAGTAAGAAGGGAAACAAGTTAACGTACCTTTATCCTCTTCCACTGATCGGCTCGTTAGCCGCTTGGGAGTCTTATCATTACCGCTGTATCTCTTCAATAATTTTCGGACAAATTTCACCACTCATCGTTTTTTCTGTCGTTTCAAATCAGTTTTATCAAACAAATATTAATGGCGATGAGCTGTAGTCACATACAGTACTGCAGGGGCTGATCCACCAGGGCGGGGGGACGGGTCCAAAGGGTCCCCCCTTTTCATCAGAAAATTCCAATACCTTTTCTTTTATGTAATATTGTACTCAGGCATTTTTGTACAGTAAAAAATAATTACTCTCAACCTCAGAACACTTTATCTCCTTATATCATGTGCACATGGATTCAAAATGGCCTCAAAATGTTCTGTAATATTTTAAGTCATTATCACTCCAAATTACACACACACACACACACATATGTATATATTATCTTTTTTTTTTCTTCGCAATTTGGAGTGATAATGACTACGGTAATGAAAGATTTTAGAACAACGGCTTTGGGCAGCAAGTTAATTTGTTTCTCCCATAATTATCACACCAAGGAATTCATTGTGTTGATTTGGATAACCTGAGTAAGACTGTCACCTTCTGCATGTGCTGACTTGGCTACCACTTTAAATCGTTACCAACTTCTTGCTCCGAGAAACAAGAACTTATGAAAGGGATGAGGTTTAATGCTGGATCTTTATGTAACCACAAAAGTAATAAGAATAAAGAAACACAAAGAGAAAGGAAGAAAAGGGAAGAAAGTAGGGGGAGGAGACAAAGAAAATGGGGTAAGGGAAGTAGGTAAAGGAGATTACTGAGATAAAGAAACTAGAAGGAAGAAAATAGAGGAGAGGAGAGTAGGAAAGCAAAGAGAAGTAAGGTAGAAAAGCATAGAATTAAGGAGGAGAGAATGGATGTAGGGAACGGAAGTAGGGAAGGAAAGCAGGAAAGTATGGACATGAATGCAGGAAAATAGGGGATAAAACAGGGAAGCAGAGAAGTGAGTAAAGGAAAGCAGGGAAGAAGGAAAAATGCAAGGAAAAAATTATTTGATGATTTTATTACAATCACATTACACTGCTTTCACAGGTAGATTTTAGAGAGCAATTCTCCCCCCTTGTATTGGTAATAATACATCACATATTAAAACATTTTAATTTAAAGCCTCCGAAAGTTATTGAATTTTTTTATTTTCATACACTATTCTTGTAAACAAAAAGAATCATACAAAATTAATGATACAGAATAAGTATATAGGAGCTTTGGGTGATAATAATAAACAATTAAAAGCACTGGATAAGTTGAAGAAGTCATATGCATTCAAAATTTCCATATTGGTTACTCATGAAACTCGTAAACATAAAATACAAGTTAGAATCCAATCTGCAAAGCATTCTTCACCCATGTTCTCTGTTTTGAGTGCAAGTACAGTATATAAAAAATTCATGTGTACAAAGGAAGGTTCAATAATTTTATGAGAAACATTCCCAAAGTGCTTTTACTGGACAGGCATGGAAGTGTGGGTCAGAAACTTGGTGATTCACTGTCAAATGGAAGTTGGGAAAAGATGAGAGTACTTAAAAAGGATAAGTAAAAATGGCTAAAATCTGGCAAATATGTACAACTTTGGAGAGAGATTTTAACCGGAGATGTAAAATTATATAAAATAAATAAGTAAAATATTTTAGTATTATGGTGACAGTTCACTATAGTAACAGCTGTTTACTAATACATACAGCATTATTTGACAAAACTCTTCTAAAGGAAGGAAGTTCTCACTTTTAATACAAATTAAAATGCTCAAATTTATCAGTTAATTATAATTTTCTATCAGTGAAATTTACACAGAATTCATAAGCTGAACTGAGAGATGAATTAAACCAACTACCAAGCTTCCTAACAAGGGTCATCTTGTTTGTTATACCAGACAACACAAACCAAACCATCTCAACCTAAAGTTAACCTAACAGTCTTAACTTATTGTTTTGTGATGTTATGTTTAGTTAGGTGGCATCATTTATTTATTTACTTACTCTTTTTGTCAAATATAGTAGTGGTTGCCTGAGCACACATCATAGTAATCAGTGACTACTAAAGTCACTTTAATGTGATACCTTTATACTTGTAGCTGCAATACTTTGAGAAACTAAAATGAACTAAAGAAAGATGATAACGAATGAGAAAGAGTATAAAAGATATACTGTACCTTCACTATAGAAGTGTTTTAGATAATATGTATGTAATGTACAGTACCTTTGTAGGTCTGTCTGAACAAAATTTGAGATAATAATGTACAGTACAGCATCCCTCCAGTATGAAAGGGTTCCATTCCTGAAAAACATCTGAATATAAAAATTGTATAAACTGATTGCAATGCTCCCATGAAGTCCCATTATATAACAGGAGATATGTTCCCATATAAAATCTGCCCCAACATTTATAATGACAAGGGTGGATCTGGGGGGTGGGGTTCCTGGGGGACCAGAACTCCCCTTTCCACCAGAAAATTCCAATACTTTTTCTTAAATGCAGTACTGTATTGTACTCAGGCATTTTTGTATTGTAAAAAGTATTTACTATTGACTTCAAAATATCTCCTAATGTGAAGTGTGCATGGCTGCAAAATGGCCCCATAATGTCCATGATATTGGTCAGATTTCAAAAAAAAATTCTGGGGGGGTTTACAGTGGCCCCCAAAACCCCCAGTTGGGTGGGCTCGCTGCACTCGCCATGTTCCCCCACCCACAACTTCTTGGACCCCCTCCCTTTTGATATTCCTGGATCTGCCTCTGAATGGCATAATATAACCTACAACACTTGTAGGCACATACTGTACTAGATAATGAGAAACAAGATTTATATTATAAACTATTGTCATAATAAAATGGCCACAAGTTTATTTAATGAAAATTAAAAAGATATACGTACAGTAATTTGTGGTTTTACCTACAAAATAAACATGTATAGTACAGCTTAATTTGTCTTCCATATCAGAAAACAATGTTGGAGAATGTAAACATGGATGCTCCCACAGGAGAGATCTGAGGGTCAGCTTCTGGTTACTGTACTGTACTAGTACATTAAGACATGACAATAACAATATGTTCTTACAGTAGTTAATTTTAGTTTGTCTTTATATGTTATAGAATAAAGATTATTTTGTGTTCAGTAAAATACTTAAGGTTACCCAAGATGTAAATTTTAGTTCATTTATCAGAATTTGTTCCTGAATTTGCTCAATTTGCAAAGTTTTGTTTGAGTCTACAATAATTGAGGGATGCCTGTTTATGTCTGAGTGTGTGTGTGTGTGTGTGTGTACTGTATTTAATTAAGACAGAACAAAGGGAATAATCCTGTTTTGTAATGATCACCGCTAACTGAGTACGTATACCAATATGTATAACAGGGTTGAAAGGTGAAATGTCAAAGGATATTTTCACTAAGTAGGAAAATTGTGGAGAAAAAGAACTCTCATCATTTCGTCACAGTAATCTGTTCAAGCGTGAAGTAGTGAATGTGCAATGATCAATATCAACATTTCCCAAAATGTTTAAATTTACAATACAAAGTACAACAATGACAATCCTATTTTTAATTGAGTGAGAACATGATTATTACAAAATAACCTGAATATGAAAAATGATACATAAATATCCCCTTTTCCCACTGCATAAAACTATAAAATGCTGCATTACGTCTGCCTTGAAAAAAATAATCCAGCAGGCACTCCCCCATTCAGACATCAAAGCATAAAACTCTCACATTTACTCCTCTGAAACACTCAGCCCATTCAAAGACAAATATCATTATGCACTCACTTGTATATGAATGATGGTAAATACAATGACTGGGTCACATTTAAGAACATGGCTAGACTGAGTATAGTCCAAGATGGGAGTCAGTATTTATTACCATAAGTTGTTGATCACTTCACTGCCAGTGAGAACTAAACACTTGTTTCATCATATTAAATGCACAAAAAACTATTAATGAGCTATAAATAAATAAAGACATAAATACATAAAATTCTCCCATTATAATCAGACATAACATAGCCAGATTCTCCCATAATCAGACAATGTAGCCAAATTCTCCCATAATTAGACAATGTAGCAAAATTCTCCCATAGTCAGACATAATGTAGCCAAATTCCAAAACATGACACTTTATGATATTACTACAGTATTCAGTAGTAGACAGCAACCAACTCATAAATGAAACACTTTGCTTACTAGTACCAAATTCCTCTGCAGTAATTCCTAAATATTCATCATAACCTCAATAATCCTGAACCAGTTTATCTTCATGTATGTATCAAAGAGACAAGTAATGAATAATTAGGAAGTCTAAAAGTGAATGAGCACCTAACACTTTTAGCTGGGATACAAAAGTAAAAACAAAAGCAAGTTAAATCCACATGGTATATGAATCCTCTGGCTTAATGGGCACTTCAGTATTTCAAACATGGTGCATTAATGTTTTTGAACCAATGTGTTTGTGTGTAGAGAGGACTTACTCCATCTGTGGGCCAAGAAATCAGTATCATATCACTTCTAACCCTAACCCATCTGAATTTTGTTGTGTATTTAATAATTTAGGGTTGAGAGGTGGTACAACATTAATTTGTGCCCCTAGAGAACCTCTTAACACTCACTCACACGGCTCTAAGAAACAGTACCACTTTACCTGTGAACCCATAAGGTGATCCCTTACACAAAATGCTTCTATGCTGAACTAACATTTGTTTGTTAAGGAATGCAAGCTGTTTATTCTTTATTAACAATTACGCTCCTCTCAGGAACACTTCAACTAAATTTCAGCACCTGGAAGATTTATTTAAGACACTGTGTCCTTTCTCCCAGGAGTCATGACCCAATGGAAGGCCAGCAGTACTGTATCACTTACAGTAAATGCATACACCCGATTATCCTATGAATCTATTGTTGTGAAAATTAATTGGTAACAATATGCATACAGTATATCATACTTTAAAGTACTGTATCTATGCAAGATCACTGGCCAAAAGTTCACAGGAGTTAAAAAATGAAGGTAAACTTTTGTGCCAATACTTGTGGCCAATACACTTCACTTAAGCTATTTAAAAAATAAATTTATATTTTAATTATCATTAATATTTCACAAATTTTGACAATAACTTGGGCAAGATTTAAAATTTAATGGGAGAAAATACCAGAATAATAAAAAATGACTACAGGATACTTTTACTTTGAACACAGCAGGTATAGTACAGTATAAGCTTCTCTGTTTGATAACCACAATAATATAGCTTTTGTAGATAAATTTAAGTTTTAATAAACATTTGAGTCATTAAGATGGCAATGATAAGCTGAGATAAACTAAAGAGGGTTTTGACTTTACATATGGTATTAATAATAAAAAGTGTAAAAAAGCTTTACATATGGCTACCATCAACACATTATACATAGCAATATATTCCTATATTTTCAAACAATCTTTTCATCAAGTTTCATTTTACATTGCAACTGTTTGCTATAACTGATGCATTAAACTCAACTCTTAATAGCTTATAGACTAAGCATCTGCAAGGAAGTAATGGAGTCTGGCTAGTACATACTTACTTACATCACATTTGCAGTTTTTATTACCATAAGAGATGCCCCCATGAAGACCTGCAGGCAATGAGATCAATGGTACCGACAAAGTACACAACTTAAGATTACCTCTGTATTCAAGAACACCATACTGTATTAACAGGTGAATGTACACATTATACAAACTAAAAAAAAAATAAAATCAAAGACACTACACACTTGTTGATCCTGATGACAGCTTCATCCCACAAGTTTCATCATAAACAATTACAAAATTATAATTGATAGAACTAATTGGTGCATTTAATGCATTCACTTGTCATATAAAGTTTGTATTACACATTTTCATAAATACTATAATTAAGGCCATGGCTTTCATTCCAAAGGAGTTCACATTTTCCATCAACATATTGTCAGATAAGCTTGAGCTTTGCTGGCCAGTAAAATGTTTGCACTGCTGACAGCAACACCCCCTGCACGTCAAGCAACTGCCCGTGTGGCCATAATACACGCAAAACTTTCGTGCAAGTTCAATCAAATTTATGGCTGTGGTGTTGACCATCACATAGCAGCATCTTACTACACTATCATGTACAGCACTGCCAAGTCATTACAAAGAACCAAGCTAAATTGGATGCCTAATCTTCACTTCTTTGCTGGATATCTAAAGGTGCCGTCCCTGCCAGCTGATCCTCTACGTATCACCCCTCCAGATACTGGGGGACTCACACTGCAAACAAACCATTTAATGTTAATTATAAATTGTTACAAAATAAAAGTAAAACTATACGGTACAATAATGCCATTTACAAGCAGGTTATTATTAAGTTATTTAAAATCAGCACAGTAATGCAAATATATTTCAATTTGTACAGCTGTACACTAAATGATGATGTCAAGTACGGAGCTAATACAGGCAAATATTTTAATGAATAATTGTTAATTATCTCATAAAAACACAATGCAAGGAATTCCTGTTTAGCATTGTCTCACACACACACACTAAAAAAAGATTCAAAATATCTGTAGCTAAGGCAGAAATTCTTCATCAAATTTCATACCACAACAGCGATGATGTAGGCAAAACAAATGAAAATTTTGAAATTGATCAAGTCATAAATCATGTAACTCCAGATCTTTAAGAGATGTGAACCATCAAACTGGCAGTTATAAGCAAGAGGCTTATGAGATATACAACTTCTAAGTATATCATGGGCAGAATCTGATGTTGCTTTAAGATTTGCCTTGAGGTTTGGAATTTCTGAAAATAACTGCACTCTCTCATTCTCAAGTCATTATCTTTCCACATTCACCCGAGAGAAGCCCACCCACTGCATCATCATCAGAAATAAGATAAATTCTGGAAGTAATCTTTTGAGACAAGTATAATACTGTACAGTATTAATCTTTGACCATGTTCACAGGCTGTAAGTACATAGTTTTCCTCACCTGTTGGCCCAAGTTTCAACACATCTATCCGTTGCTCTTGACAGCTCAGGGGTCTGTGCATTAGAAGTCCCAGATCGGTGTACCCTCATGCTCACACGTTGTTCGCTCTCACTTCCTGATCGCAGTCGCCCTACACCTGTATAATGCATAACTTATAAGCATGAATTCATCCAGAAAGTATTAAATCTGTTTAAGCATATATAGATAAAAATCAATCATAAAGGTAACATAAAACTTTAAAAGTAAAAAAAAAAAGTAAAACTTTAATACAGTAACGTAAAATGCCCAATGGTTAAGAAAATCTGTTTCCTCTTACCAACCTAATTCTGTTCTCATTTATAGAGGGTTGACCAGGTGCATTAAACCCCATTAATAAGAAAACCACAATAAAACAATACATAAAAATACTGTAAGTAAAGGCACATAGAAAAGTAAAAAGAATTAAATCATATACAGGTATTAACTTACTGTCGAGTGTAAGAATATTAACATATTATTTAAACGCTCCATACCTCAAGTCCATTCTATATTTCTTTATCCATAAATCATTCATCAACTGTAAACATTCTCTGACAGTACTGTACTGTACACAGTACTTTGTACTGTAATTACAGTAAATCCCAAGATCTTGGCAGATCAATGGCTTCCTACCTTTCTCACGCTGTTAAATTCTATATACTGTACATTATCTTACCTTTCAAGGTCCTTTTTCCCCAAATTCATAATCTAACATCTCATACTTTTAACGTTTACATTATCTCAGTACTGTATCTTCCTAATACCCTCCTCATAACACACGCCTTCCCCACATCCAATGTTCACCCAGTTCATGCAGGCAGATCTATAGTACTGCATACGTACTGTGTTTATTCACTGCCATTAATTTAAAATTTACATAAAAGAACCTTCAAGGCTTAATCTTTCCACAGTACAGTACAGAAGAGTTCAAGTTTGTATTCCTTTATGTAGGCAACTTGTACATTCCACACTCGGCACTTTCCCAATGATAAAGGTTTGTCAGATACTTTCATTTGCCTACCTGGCAAACATCCATCATACAGTTCCAAAATATCTTTAAATTCATTCATTTGCAAAATCAACTACAGAATGTATGAGACAATTTCTGCCTTATTCTTATACAGTACTACTGTAAACAAGTTTAATTTTAACATTCACAGGTGCATTAAAATATCAATATTTTCCCACAAATTCACTGCCTTGTAACATATGTATAGTAAAATTATAGGATTTCAATAAATTTTTCATGTGGTTTAACAAAGCCCTGAGTTATATATCAACAAATATGATAGGATGGCTTACTTCCTTTTCATGTCAAAATCATTTGATCAAATAATAATTTAAAATAACCATTGCTATTGTCCACTTACCGAGTACAGTAGGTATTTTATGAGCCTTACAGTTATCAAGTCCAATAAATTATCTTTGCTTTTTTTCTCTTCCACATTATCCACTATAGTATATGCACTCTACTCTCTCCCTGCTTTTTGTTAAATTAAACCTAACCAAATTAATGTGACCTGGTTTTACACAAACACTATGGGCCAGAGTTTTAATCGCCCTCATCCATTAATGGGGGTCAGGGCCGGCCTTGAGCCAATTGGACCAATTGGGCCCCGTGCCTAAGGGGGCCCCGTGCTACAGTAATCTACTCTCGGCTCGTCAAGTACACACAACACATTGTAATATATATGTAACACCATATCATTTTACAGTCACTAAAACAAGTGGTATTGTAACTATGTACTTTTCAGAGGTGATCTACACATTTTGTTTGTTACTTGTAGGCTTACATGTATGCAATTTTACATTAAAATGTAGCATAGATCTGTTTGGTCCATGCACTTTTAAAGCACACATTTTGATTACTTCCATTCTACCATAGAGATATAAAGTCTATAATAGACTTTATTTATATTTCTATGATTCTACAGACCTTGAAGGGGAACCTGAGGCCCACCAAAATTTCTCCCAATTGAGCCCCGCACCTCCCAAGGCCGGCCCTGATGGGGGTCTTTGTGTTTACAACCACTTTTTAAAAAATTTGAGTCACAAAAACTGCACTGCAGCGCTTGACAGGGAGATATGGCAGTAAAATTAACATATAATATGAGAATGTTAATTTTACCACCACACCTCCCTGTCAAGAACTGTAGTGGTGTTCTTTGTTAACCAAATTTTTTAAAAGTCCAGTTGTAAACATGACCCCCATCAATGGAAGAGGGTGATTAAAACTCCGGCATATATCTCTCTACATTCAACACCTTTTATTCCCTTATTAGCTGTACACTACAGTAAAATGTAGCCAAAATGTTCAAGTGATCATTATGAGTAAATTGATCATTAAGTATTACTCTTACTCCTCTTGTACCTGTGTGTTGGCTGGATCTTGGGGTACAGAAACCCTAAAGAGGTGACACTGTTGGAGGAGTAGATAAAGATCAGTGTACAGCATAATATACTAAGTGGAGTAACATTAACTCAACACTAGTGTTTACACAACCTCTCTCTCCTACACTGGTTCACCTTCTTTCATTTTATTTATTAATTTTCTCTAACTGATTCAATTATACTTCTGCTGTAAAAGTGAAAAAAAAATAAATAAATAAGAATGTTGCTAAACCAGTTTAAAATGTTTTGGGCAGTTATGGCCTTCAAAGGTTTTCCACTCTATTGTGTGAACTTAACTCGGAAGAACTCTGCCTAACCGGGTGCATATACTGTTCAGTGTACCATCCTCAGGTCAATATGGAACTCCTTATACATTATATCTACATACTGTATAGTACAGTATAGTGTTCATGCATCTCTTCACTGTGGTGGTATCCTAGCCACTATGATATTAATATATCAAAGGAATGCCTATGTCATAATCAGTACGGTACAGGTAATCAAACAAGTGGAAAGGGAAAAAAAGGTTGACACAAATAACAGATAAGGTTTTGGTAAGCAATTAAAAATAGGTTACTTCTTGATAAAGGAGTAACTAGGCCCAACTCTACCTTCTTATGGTAGTGCATCCTCTTCAACAGATAGTACAAGGTTGAACTGAAAAAGGGAGAAGGGGAACTACCCATGGATAGTCTAGTTTTAAAATAAACCTTTTTACATATAAAGTACCTATATTTTAGATACAGTATTGTTTTCATAGTATAAGAGCTAGATTGTTCGTATTGTTTCACTAAATTTTAACTTTGACTATTAATATGTAACAAAGTTATTGTAAAATATATATTGCATTTAATATTTCTAAAGGAGTTAGAGTGTTGTAAGTTTTGAAGTAGCAAGTAAGGACACCATATATTACAAGTGCAATACTGTATATGGACAACACCTTATTGTACCCAGCTCCTTAAGCGAGGAGTTCACTGACCTCAGTCAGTGAGTGGTATCGACTCCTCAGACACCAAGTACAACACTTAGTTTGGTATCCCAACCAGTAGAGGGAAGAAGAGGACACAGGTAAATTAGAGAAAAGATAATATAATTAGAAAAGACGAAAACAATGTACAGGTATATATTTTAAATGAAGAAGCTCAGATACTGGAAGTCACACAATTTCATGGATCATAGGATAGACATTTTAGGTCCTGGGTAAACCTGCCATGAGAAGGAGTGCGAGAGATGAGAGAAAACATCTAGAAAGGGATGAATGGTCAGGTATAGTAGAATGTTATAGACTGCATGAGACATAAAGAGAAAATTAATGTTGTAGTAATTCACATACTGCATCACCAAGAATGAAACAATGTGAGGGGTGGGAAACACTGAAGTTTGGAAAGGTTAAGGGGTAAGAGGGAGTGTTTTGCCGAGTCACAGTGGATAAAAAGAGGTTCTCTGAGGTGGTATGAACATATGGGAGACACTCTACAGAATAGGGTGGTACAGTCCAGTTGTGGTGAGCAGGACACAGCTTACATCATGGGGTGGGAGTTGGAGCAATATATCAAGGAGAAAACTGGGGAGGGGGTAAATGGGCTGAAGACGGCAAGGAACAGATAGAGGAACTTCGAGTTTGTTGCCATCCTCGCAGAACGTGAGGTGCCAGACAAACTATGAAAAACAATATTGTACTGCATAAAGCTTTGACCACAGTTTGTGTGAGGTAGCCAATTAACACACTCTCAAGACATACCGACTGTATGTTTTAAGCCAATTTGAAAGGTTTTGAAAGTAAACTCCAAATAAGTCTCCGCTCATAAACCTCAAATGTAATACTGTAATTAAATTGTAATAAGATGTAAATGACCATTTGTACACTTATAATAAAAAGTGGAATGCCTGGGAGTATTCTTGAACCTGGGACATGACGCTGAATTTTTCAGTACATTTCTGACGACTGATTCATCAAATTTAACTTTACTGTATTTGTAAAGGTGAACTACCTTCAGTAAATAAGTAAGAAAGAATGTATGAAAATATGACTATTCCAACTACTGATGAATACCTTCTGAGTTTCTGTAACTTCCTTGTTCATGGAACAATATCTTTTACTTCTGAAATGTTCTTTTGATGAGAAAAAATATTACATTCCATCATTTTCTTCTTCTGAATTTGCAGTAAAATTTAAAACCAGTGGATTTTAAACATTTCAGACTAAACACCCACACACATACCATCTTAACTTCTTGGAAATATATTTCCAATGAAGACTGTACCACACCCTAATCCTCTTCATTCTCTACCACCTCTAAACCAATTTGCTTATTTTCATCTTTCATATTATGTACTGTACTGCTCTGTACTATACTGTGCTGTACTATACAGTACTGTACTGTACTATGCTGTACTATACAGTACTGTACTGTACAGTACTATACTGTGCTGTACTATACAGTACTGTACTGTACTATACTGTGCTGTACTGTACTATGCTGTACTATACTGCACTGTACTGTGCTGTACTGTACTATACTGTACTGTGCTGCACTGTACTGTGCTGCACTGTACTGTACTATACTGTATAAGGTATATGGCTCTCTACTGTCCTGACAATAGTCATCACTCAGGTGAGGTAATCACACTCCATAGTCCACATGTCACCACACCACTCAATCACCATCACCCCAGTGTTTATACAGTAAAGGTACTGTACTTGCATTTATAAAATACATTCTA